TCTGCCAATGCAATGAAGACTTAAAATTAACAATACTACCTGCACAAATGTGCGCATGCGTGGATGAACGAATCACTCCCTGAGAGGACTCGTAGTTCCCGAGTCATATTGAAGATTCGTTCAAAATGAACAAATCGTTCATGAACGACCCATCACTACAGGTGATTGGCTGGGCCATTCTACAGTTTGATTTTCTTTCTCTGAAAGCATCTGAGTCTCCTTGGCTGTGTTTTGGATCATTGTCCTGCTGAAATGTCCACCCTGGTTTAATCTTCATCCTCCTGCTGATGTAGATGTTGGACTGAAGCAGCTGATATTCATCTACACTGAGGAAGGGCAGAGGCTTGCTGAAGAACTACTGAGAGATTTCAGCTGCTGTCTGGGCTTTCACTGCCGAACTACTCCTTCCTTTCTTCATGTGTGAATAGTTTTTCCCTGCATCATTTCATTTTATCATGCATAACGTAATTTGTAAACAAATTAGATTTGTTTTCTTTGTAAATAAGAATTTATTTTGTTGCTATTAACAAACGGGGAAAATTCAAGTCAACAGCACCATTAGCAAAATATGTTTTCTGAGAAAAATGGTGACGTGTTCAATACTTGTTTTCTCTGTAATTGCCTATTCATAATATTTGCATGTGTGTTTTCGGCATTACACGTAACCAGAAATCAGCATGTTCACACGTCTGGCGCTGTGATTGTTGTTTTAGGGGATAACAGTTCCCAGAGACTGCTGGTACTGGCCTGAAGTGGAGAAAAATGAAGAATCTGAGCTTCTGGAGGAGGAAATAAAAACTGAGGAGAGTGATGAAGAAGAGGAGCTGTCTGTGAGTTACACTTCAGAGATACTGTTTATTGTGATTTATAATATGCAATCTAAGAGTGCATGAGTGATCTGAAAGTTAGCTTGAAATCTAAATGTACAATGCTAATTTTGCTAGCTTACATTGTTATTGTTACAGTGAATAATTAATCTGTGCAAGTTTATCTGCTGGGCAGCACAGTGGGTAGCACAATCGCCTTACAGCAAGAATGTCGCTGGTTTGAGCCTTGGCTGGGTCAGTTGGCATTTCTGTGTGGAGTTTGCATGTTCTCCCTGCGTTCGCGTGGGTTTCCTCCGGGTGCTCCGGTTTCCCCCACAAGTCCACAAGTTACCCCACAAGTTGGGTAAGCTAAATCTATCCATAGTGTTAGGTGTGAATGAGTGTTTCCCAATGATTGGTTGCAGCTGGAAGGGCATCCTCTGTGTAAAACATGTGGTGGATAAGTTGGCGGTTCATTTCGCTGTGGCAAACCCAGAATTATAAAGGGACTAAAGCGAAAATAAAATAAATGAAAGTTAATCTGCTGAAATAAAAAGTTTGCTATGGTAATCTTTAATCCAAGTCTGAGCATCTGCTTTCGTGTATGGAGTTGTGGTTGTGTGGCAGTAATGCACAAAAGAATGGGCGACGCAGTGGCGGAGTGGGGTAGCACATTCGCCTTACAGCAAGAAGGTCGCTGGTTCGAACCTCGGCTCAGTTGGCATTTCTGTGTGGAGTTTGTATATTCTCCCTGCAGTCGTGTGGGTTTCCTCCAGGTGCTCCGGTTTCCCCCACAGTCCAAAGACATGCGGTACAGGTCAATTGGGTAAGCTAAATTGTCTGTAGTGTATGTGTATACGAGTGTGACAGGCCCAAACGACGAAAGGTGTAAACAAAGTCGTTATCATATGGAACTTGTTCCAAAAAAAAGAGCCGACCCCGCAATCATACGGGACAAAGGCCAAAGAAAAAGAAGAGTGATGCACAAAAGAAAGCCCCGCCCCCTACTCAATATTCACATTCAGTTTTAGTTACATCAACATACTGAAATAAAAGTCTCAGCAACCTCCGGTTCAAGTAGACTTTAAGTTGCAAGGGAAATGTTAGGAAAAGCCAACATTACATAGTCACAATTATAGATTTTTCTTTTTTTTTATGGCAAAAATCATTATTATATTAAGTAAAGATCATGTTTTATGAAGGCATTTCGTAAATGTTTGACTGTAAATGCATCAAAACAATTTTGCCAACTGGATCTAGACTGAGTTTTATTATATTCATTCATTCATTCATTTTCCTTTCGGCTTATGAACCGCCAACTTATCCAGCATATGTTTTAAACAGCGGATGCCCCTCCAGCTGCAACCCAGTACTGGGAAACACCCATACTCTTTCACATTCACACACTCATACGCTACGGCCAATGTAGTTCATCAATTCCCCTATAGCGCATGTGTTTGGACTGTGGGGGAAACCAGAGCACCCGGAGGGTAAGAACATGCAAACTCCACACAGAAATGCCAACTGACCCAGCCGAAATTCGAGCCAGCAACCTTCTTGCTGTGAGGCGACAGAGCTAACCACTGAGCCACCGAAATATTTCACAATATTTACCATTATTCATGTTTGCCCTCAGCCTTTAGATAAGCTGCAGTTTCTCACCTCATATCTGCGGGGAGTTCATTATTACTGCATCTGGTGCGGCACGGCATATAACGGTGAGAAGTGTTCACAAATCATCATTTATTTGATCAGTTAAATATTTTAATCAGCAAGCACTGACATTTTCTCATTCAACAGATGAAGAGGATTTGGGTACGAATTGTCCTGGAGACACGGCAGCGGATCATGATGATTGAAACAACACAAATGCTTTGCTTTTAGGGTTTCTTTTCATAGCTGTGTGTAATATTTATGTTTTCTTGTTGCTTCATTAAATATTGCAGTGATGTTTTGTTTAAAATGGTGTGATATGACTATTGACCATGATGCATCATGTAATTTTTTTTATGTAAATGAATATCAAACAAATACAAAAATGTGTGGTTGCATAATTATTCTTTCCATTATGTTTGTACAATCCATTCCAGGGTGTGGTGATTTGTGTGACAGCTCTGTGCTAGTTATAGATGAACAAATGCTAATTACTTAACAGGCAATATTACTTCCCAGTAATACTCCAGGGAAAATACCAGTCAGACTAAAGCATATCTAAATATTTAGATGTTCTCGAGTTTTGTAGGAAAAGTATATTTAAATTTTAATTCATATCTAAATACTTAGAGTTGGTCTTGGGTTTTGTAGGAAAAACTTAATACAATGTACTGATGTGTAATAGAAAACAATAAGAATATATATATATATATATATATATAGAGAGAGAGAGAGAGAGAGAGAGAGAGAGAGAGAGAGAGAGAGAGATTATACATAATATATAAGCATCATTTAATTATAGAAATATATTTGAAATGAATCAATTATTTAAAAAAGAGTGATTTTACCCAATGAATCATTATTATACTTACTATGTTTTCTAGTATTTTTAATATTTATTTATTATTTATTTTTTGTAACTTGCCAGTTTTTAAATAGACAGAAACATATTTTATATTAAAATAAATTATTTTCCAATTAAATCATTTATAACTTTTAAACATATTAAAGCACTTTTATTTAAGTATTTTGTCTTTTTATTAAAGTATTTGTTATTATGTTTTGTATTTGACTTTTTATACATTTTTTCGTTTCATTACAATTTACATATTCGTGAAAATAAATTTTAAAAACTATAATCTTTTATCTTACGAGCCTTTATGAACATTTATCAAACTTTTTTAATTAACTTTTTCATACATTTTTTTATTCATGGTTACTTGCTAAATATGACGTAATTTCAAAACTGAATGGTAATATTAACCAAAGCAAATCAAACTAAGCCAATTATAACTACAAATGCATTATTGTGCGTTTGTACAACTTGTGCTCCTGTTAATTTATTAGAGAATTGTCTCAAATCAATATAAGTTTCTGCTTCACCTCCTGACGATCATTTTTTATCAGATGGGCGTGGCGGATGAACACGCGTCGCTTTTGATTGGCCAATCCATTGTTTGTCGATGACGCAATTGCGGAAATCGAAACTTATTGATATGAAGCATAGATATATACACTAGATATCGCATAGGGACTCTGAGCATACGTCAATAGCGCCTCCACATTGGTACAGTGCTCCCAGGACAAATGTCATTTAACCGCACTAGTCAAGACAGTGTTATTACGTGAACATGCGGGACTTTAGTGCTGTCTACGGGTGTAGTAACGAGCAAAGAAAACAAAGCACAAAGGCAGAACATTTAATAGGTAGTATTAAGTTTTTTCTTCTGTTTTTGTATGTTCTGAACTTTTGTGCTAATCAGGTAACGTTATTGATGATAATACAGTCTCTTACTGCATTCACCATAAGGCAAAGCAGCTCCAACTCGCACTAAACACTCGGCTTATGCTAGTTTTGTTAAATAAAATCAGCAAACAATGCAAAAGAAATACGACAACGAGATGCTGCGCTGCCAGAAACTTGTTGGTTAGTGAAAGAGTCGTTCGGGGGATTCATTCACAAACGAGTCGCTCCCTCCGTCAGTATGAAAAGTGAAAGCAGGAGAGGAGCTGTGTTTCAGAACATGATTAGATCAAATTTAACAGGGAGGGTGAATATTACATTTCTGTACACACAAACACAAGCTTTTTGTCAGGAATGCCCGTCACTGATCCATCAATGTAGAAAAGTGATGTAAAATTATAATTTTCGTAATTAGAAAAAAAATTACATACTAACATCTAGGAAAACTCCCGATCATAGATATATGTGTATATGTGTATATCTCTGGCTTTGGATGGCCACAGTCCTCCACTACACCTAGGTCCCAATTCATTTCAAAGGAGCGCTACCCTGTACCAAGATGGCGGTGCTATTGGCACATTCCGTCCAATAGACAACAATAGGCCAGGCGACATCTAATGTGTATATCTATGGATATGAAGAAATGAAAGTAAATTGGATGTCATTGTGAACTGACGCGAGTAGTACCGTGTAGAGGTGTGAAGGGAGTGTGCTCTTTTCTAGGAAATATGTGACTTTCACGAGCTGACTCATGTAAACACTCCGTCAATTCTGCTTCGTTTTATTCGGCATTCGCAATGGAGTCTCTGTCAGGAAATTATACTTCTCTGCTAAATGAGTATCAGCAGAAAACCCAATGCACTGTTGAGTTTGAGGAGGGACCCACTGATGGACCAAGCCACAATAAAAGGTATTAAATAAAGTATATTTTCTTTAGAGTCCATTCATTAGCTGTATACAAGTCTGTTGCTAAAGGAACAGCTCGTGTGTTGTTTATGTGTCAGAAACTGCATTTATGGCATTATGGTTTTAATAAAAATCTGTGTTTTTTAGGTTTACTATGAGAGCTATTGTGAATGGACAGAAGTTTCCTGATGGTACTGGTAAAACCAAGAAGGAGGCAAAGCAAAATGCTGCTAAAAACGCCCTGGAAGGCTTGAAGAGCACTCACAGTGATGAACCGGTAGGTAAACAAATAGAAAAAACACGTTACAATAAGGGTGCATTAGTTAATGCATTAGTAAACATGAGTTAATCGTAAACAACACATCTGTTAAGCATTACTTAATCTTTGTTAATGTTAACTAAACCTATGTTGATGTGTTGATACATTAGTTAACACTAATAAATGTTAGTAAAGCATTAAATAATGTTGGAATAGTGTACAATTTACAATAAGGTTCCTAATTCCATTAATTAATGCTTTGCTAATTATTAATTATGCCTGTAAAGAGTTAACAAGCATGAATAATTAAACTACAATTAGTGTGTATTAGTTAATGCATTAGTTAACATGAGTTAATAGTAAACAACACATCTGTTAAGCATTACCTAATCTTCGTTAATGTTAACTAATCCAATATTAATGTGGTTATGCGTTAGTTAATGCCTTAGTTAACATAAACAACTCGTAACACTTTAGATAAGGTTGGAGTTGTGTAAACTTTACAATGAGGTTAATAATTTCACTTGACTAATGCTTTGTTAATTATAAATCATGTTAGTAAAGATTTAACAAACATGAATAGGTAAATAACACTTTACAACAAGGGTGTATTAGTTAATGCATTAGTTAATAGTAAACAACACATCTGTTAAGCATTTCTTAATATTTGTTAACTAAACCTGTAATATTGGGGTAATACATTAGTTAACACCTTAGTTGACAATTTAAGTAGCATTAAATAATGTTGGAATAGTTTAAACTTTACAATAAGGTTCCTAATTCCATCAACAAATGCTTTGTTAATTATAAATCATGTCAGTAAAGAATTAACAAACATGCATTGCATGCAAAATGTGCTGATGTTTCCACTAACACTCCTAAATCACCATGGTATTCATATTTGTAAGCGCTTTAAATCACATAGACTTAATAATAATAATAATATCTGTAATACACACGCATGCAGTTGGAATTATTAGCCCTGCTGTGAAATATTTATTCTTTTCCAAAAATTTCCAAATTCTAATTTGCCTAATTAACCTGGTTAAGCCTTTAGATGAAGCTTAGCTTAGTCTCTTCATTAATCTGGGGTCACCACAGCGGAATGAACTGCCAACTTATCCAGCATATGTTTTACACAGCGGATGCCCTTCCAGCTGCAACCCATCACTGGGAAACACCCATACACTATGGACAATTTAGCTATCCCAATTAACCTATACCACATGTGTTTGGACTTGTGGGGGAAACCGGAGCACCCAGAGAAAACCCACGCCAACACGGGGAGAACATGCAAACTCTACACAGAAATGCTAACTGACCCAGCCGGGGCTCGAACCAGCGACCTTTTTGCTGTGAGGCGACAGTGCTAACCACTAAGCCACCGTGCCGCCCATGCTGTTATCATGGCAAAGAGAAAAGAACTCAGTTATTAGAAATTAGTTATTAAAATGATTAAGTTTAGAAATGTGTTGAAAAAAAAGTCTTCCATTTATTGAACCGAAATTGGGGGAAAAATATACATAGGGACCAAATGTTTAATTTTTCATGTAATTAATCTTTGGCCAACACTATAATGAATGCATATGTCTTTGCAGACTCCTTCACCCGTTGAAAACATTTCAGTTAGTAAAATAGCATCTCATCCGAATTACACCTGCTGGCTCAATGAGCATTCGCAGAAGAGCAGGTTAATGTTCAAGGCCTGCGAGTCGACTAAGATGGATCCAGGAAACCTCACCCGGTCAGTATTCAAGACATTTACACACATACATGATCATGTTTAAGGCAGAAATGCTCTTTATTAATGCAAATTCTCTGCTACTCAGGTTATGCACGTATGTGTGTAAGTATGTTTGTGATGATAAAGAGTTTCCTGAAGGTTATGGGAAAAATAAGAAGGAAGCCAAAGAGGCAGCGGCTCTTCAAGTTTATGAAGAGCTCAACAGAACACCAAATACAGAGGTAACACAGCAGTTACAAATGCAAATAAAAGTTAAATAAAAATATAAGCTAAGTAAAAACTCTTTTTAAACTGCTTTTTAAGGTCTTGGATGAGAACAGCCATAGAGCTCAGAGGTCAGAAACTACATCTTATAGGTGAGGTCATTTAATAAATGTAATATTTAATATTAATTTAGTGACATGAACAAAATGTTTAACAACTTTACATCAAGTGTTGAAAATAGCAAAATTAAAACTGGTAAAAATCATCTAAATAAATGTAAATCTAAATAATTAATCTGGAAGTAATCTGTTGTATATAAAAATGTAAATATTTACTAAAGTAATTAGTTAAACTTTTAATAATAATAATAATAATAATAATAGCAATGTATGTTATGGATAATAATAATAAGTTATAAAAAAATAATACTTAAATATATATATATATATATATATATATATATATATATATATATATATATATAAAATTATATTTTGTGTGTGTAGAATTTACAGCAACAATTTATTTACAGGATAATTTTATCCTCCCATTACAATCAAAAACTTGCAATAATCATCAATACAAAAATAAATTAAATTAATCAGAAGACAACCATATATTATACATATATACACACATACACATGTAAGTATATACATAAACGCATACATATACAGTGCATGATGAAGAAATGTTTTTGGTTTTGTGACATTTATCAACAATTGCTTTTGTATACATATTACATACAGTTGAAGTCAGAATTATTAGCCCCGTTCTAATTTTTTTTTTTCTTTTTAAATATTTCCCAAATAATGTTTAACAGATTCAGAAAATTTTCACAGTATGTCTGATAATATTTTTTCTTCTGGAGAAAGTCTGATTTGTTTTATTTAGGCTAGAATAAAAGCAGTTTTTAATTTTTTAAACACCATTTTAAGGTCAATATTATTAGCCCCTTTAAGCAATTTTTTTTCCGATAGTCTACAAAACAAACCATCGTTATACAATAACTTGCCTAATTACCCTAACCTGCCTAGTTAACCTAATTAACCTAGTTAAGCCTTTGAATGCCACTTTAAGCTGTATAGAAGTGTCTTAAAAAAAATGAAGTGAAATATTATTTACAGTCATCATGAAAATGATAAAATAAATCAGCTATTAGAAATGAGTTATTAAAACTATTATGTGCAGAAATCTGTTGGAAAATTTTTCTCTCCGTTAAACAGAAATTGGGGGAAAAATAAACAAGCGGTCTAATAATTCAGGGGGGCTAATAATTCTGACTTCAACTGTATATATATAATAAGTATTTAACAGATTATTTTTCTATATTGTGCACATGTTGTGTTAGTTTATTTTGACATTTTGTCTTTTGTGCTAGCCTGGACCGCCGTTCGAGTGTTGCAGATGATTCTCGAAGCAGCACGCCTGACAACAACTACATCGCATATCTCAATAACTACTGCCAGAAGAAAAAACGTGTATATGACTTCAAATTAGTGGACAGAATAGGTCCTCCTCACAACCCAATGTAAGTCTCACACACATACAGTTGAATTCTGAGCTATTGTCCCCCCTGTATATTTTTCCCCAATTCCTTTGTTACAGAAAGATTTGTTTTCAACACATTTATAAACATAATAGTTTTAATAATCATTTCAAATAGCTGATTTCTTTTCTCTTTGTCATGATGACAGCACATAATATTAGACTAGATATTCTTCAAGACACTAGTATTCAGCATAAAGTGAAATTTAAAGGCTTAACTAGGTTAATTAGGGTAAAGTTAGGGTAATTAGGCAAGTCATTGTATAACAGTGGTTTGTTCTGTAGACAATCTAATTGTAACCAAAGGAGAGTCGGGTAACAACAGAGAGAGGATCCTCGTGCAGCTTTATTCAGAAATGTCAGACAGGCAATGGTCAAACACAGGAGCAAACGAGTACATACAGGGAAATTCAGAAGAATAGTCATGTCACAGGCAAATATAAACAAACAAGACTCAGCAATGTGTGTGTGTCAATGTGAGCAGTCTTAACAGCCCATGTTAGATCAGCTCCCAGCTGTGTGCTTGTGTGTAATTTACAGTGATTCCGGAACAGGTGTGTGTGAGGTGCATGATGGGATATGTAGTTCATAAAGTTGCAGAATTGTAGGCCGGGTGAAGATGCAAGCCTGGATTGCTGGTTATTGTGACAATAATACAAATATTGCATAAGGGCGCTAATAATAATGACCTTAAAATGCTTTTATAAAAATTAAAAACTGCTTTTATTCCAGTCGAAATAAAACAAAAAATACTTTCTCCAGAAGAAAAAATATTATAGGAAATACTGTGAAAAACTCCTCAATCTGTTAAACATAATTTAGGAATTATTTGAAAAAGAAAAACAAAATTTACAGGAGGGCGAACAACATTGACTTCAAGTGTATAATAAAATTAGACACCTGAAAAATGTGCTCATTTAATCCCCTGCTTTATTTAAATAAAAAACAATGAGTCACTTAATTAAGTTAAATTATTAGTAATTTAAAAAGTAATTTATGTCTCTCATCTTGCTGGAAGAGTGCAGTGATTTACGTCGATTCAAACTGAAACTGTAAAACAGACATTTATTTCCTCAGATTTGTTTATAAAGTTGTGATGGATGGGAAGGAATACCCTGAAGCACAGGGAAGAAACGCTAAAGAAGCGAAACAAAATGCAGCTCAACACGCTTGGAGTGAAATTCGGGATCAGTCTGGCTGGACCACACCGGTAGGAGGATTCAGAAACACTGTAAAGGCTTTCCACTATATGTTAATGACTTGTTCGTTAATACACATGCATGCTTTCAATTAACAGAGTTCTGAAGATGGCGCATTCTCACAATCCCAAGATACATGGTAAGTTATCACAATAATAATGCATTGTTTTATCATAATATATTATACTCCAGAAATGATTAATAATGCATTAAATCTAACAAAAATCATGCATGTATCTGGAGTAAACTTCTTGCAATCATATAATCCATAAAACATAACTGTAGTCTGATTACATATTATTCACACAATGGCAGACAGTCATTAATTCTCCTAATTTTTTACTTTTATTATTGAATATTTATTTTTACCGTAGTAAATATGTTGTTTATACACATTCGTGTAATGCTTTTGCAAAGTTGCTGTAGTTGTTTTTGTTAGTGTTTTTATATGAAATGTTTATGTCGCAGCTGACTTTGCTGTCAATTTCATCTTTTTCAGTATTAGTTTTTATAATGTTGCTGTTTTCTAAATGTACTTAATAATAAGTGAATAATTTAAGCCAGACCCTCCTGAAAAATCTAGCTTAAACCAGCCTAGGCTGGTTGGCTGGTTTTAGCTGGTTGACCAACCTGGTTTTAGAGGGGTTTTGGCCACTTCCAGGCTGGTTTCCAGCCATTTCCAGCCTGGTCTTAGCTGGTCAGGCTGAAAAATTACCAGCCAAATCCAGCTAAAACCAGCTTGACCAGCCTGGTTTAAGCTGGATATTGCTGGTTTTGGCTGGACTCCCAGCTTGGCTAGGCTGGTCAAGCTCGTTTTAGCTGGTCATCTCCCAGCCTGACCAGCTAAGACCAGGCTGGAAATGGCTGGAAACCAGCCTGGAAGTGGCCAAAACCCCTCTAAAACCAGCCTGGTCGACCAGCTAAAACCAGCCAACCAGCCTAGGCTGGTTTAAGCTGGATTTTTCAGCAGGGGACATGTCCAAACTTGGTCCTGGAGGGCCGGTGTCCTCCAAAGTTTAGTTCCAACCCCAATCAGACACACCTGGGCTAGCTAATAAAGCTCTTATGCTGCGGTCACACTGGGCTCTTCCACTCATAGACTTTCATTTATATGCACGCGAATACAGTATACTGTAAACGCAGGGTCATGCGTTAAGTTTCACAGGTTGCTGCAGTGCAAAGTTCAAGCTTGGTAAACTCTGACCTGTAAAATCGCATCCTTTGACTGCATGAGACCAGTCGAGGATCAAAACATGACCTCTCTGGACAGAAATTTAAAACATGGAGCAATCGCTCGCTTTTTTAATGCCTAATCATCTTGTTTAATCCCGCCCCTTTTTGCAGCACCGCACCACTAAATTTCGAACGCACAAACTCTAGTGTGACCGCAGCTTAAGTAGGCTTTCTAGAAAAAGTGTTTCATAGTTTGAACACCCCTGATTTAAACTCACCATATGTGGTTTAGTGTTATTTAGAGTTATTTATAGAGTTTAGAGCATTTTAATAGAAGTTTATTAAAGATTCAATTTAACAATTTATATGATAAAGACTATGTATTGTTAATTTACATTTTACTATTCAATTTCTGTAACCGAATACCGTAAGTCACTGTTTATTTACTTTCAATATTTTCTTCATTGTGTTTATTTATGACTGTAATTTGTTTATTATATGTACAGTTGCAATCAGAATTATTAAAGCCCCTGAATTATTAGCCCCTCTGTTTATTTCCCCCCAATTTCTGCTTAATGGAGAGAAGAATTTTTCTACCTATTTCTAATCATAATAGTTTTAATAACTCATTTCTAATAACTGATTTATTTTATCTTTGTCATGATGACAGTACATACTATTAGACTAGATATTCTTCAAGACACTTCTATACAGCTTAAAGTGACATTTAAAGGCTTAACTAGGTTAATTAGGTTAACTAGGCAGGTTAGGGTAATTAGGCAAGTTATTGTATGAGGAAATACTATGAACATTTCCTTGCTGTGTTAAACATCATAAGGGTAATATTTAAAAAAAAAAAAATAATAAAAATTTCAAAGCGGGGCTAATAATTCTGACTTCAACTGTGTATAATAAATTACATAAACACATTTATATTTCACTCCCCTATAAAATCATCCCAATCAATCTAAAGTCTTTGCAAAAAAGAGCTATTTAAATAATTTTGTTTTATTATATTATATTATATTATATTATATTATATTATATTATATTATATTATATTATATTATATTATATTATATTATATTATATTATATTATTGTAATATATATATCGCGGAGAAAATAATTTGCAGTGTCAATTTTTTCCAATATCTTGCAGCCCTATCTCAAAGTATACAGAATACAAATGAAACTCAGTTAATTTTATAAATGGGCCTTTAACCTTTTTTATAATTAACACAGAGATATGTCAAAACACGAAATGTTTCAAAGTAAGAATGACACCACATTTCTTAGAAATTGACATTAATTTCCTACAAAATTAATTGTTTCTTAAGCATGTGTGTTCATCCGACAAATCTAACGTTAGTTTGAAAAATCTTGTTATTCTGCAAATATTTTTGCAAACCAAAATAAATGTACTGTATATCTGCAATTCCTTCCTGCTTGCCAGTATTTTAGGCAAGAATATTTTAGGTAACCAATTAAATTACCTAAAAATGAAAAGTAATCCCTTACTTTACTTTTTGAGTGGAAAAAGAATTTAATTACATTAGCTAGTTACCTTCTAACTCAGGGGTTCCCAAACTTTTCAGCCCGCGACCCCCAAAATAACAATGCCAGTGACTCGCGACCCCCAATATCCTCTAAGGCGGTTATAAATACAGAAACCTTGCATGCAATGACGCAGACACACCAATTAAATTTGTGTCAGTGCTTTAAATGTGCCAGAAAGTATAACCTGATGTTATAAAATCAAAATGCATCTGACGCTATTGCTGCCTTTAATATAATTTAATTACCCCAGGGGTCGCAATCCAATAGAACTAGTAACTATAAGCTACTATAGTAACTATATAGTATATAGTAACTATAAACGACTATTTTTATTTTCTGTATAGTTATGGATAAAATATGTTAATTCTTGTGGTTTAATAAAAATAAATAGATTTTTGGAAATCACCAGGCGACCCCCTTTCATTGCCCCGCGACCCCTCGGGGGGTCCCGACCCCCACTTTGAGAACCACTGTTCTAACTAATCACACCCAACACTGCTCTCAGCAAACACTAACAGTGAGGTACATTAGTGTGAGGATTGTGAAGTATTTACTGTCCATCATTGCACCTTCAAACCAAGGTTGAGGCTCTTCTTGATGATAGAGATGAAGATATTTGTCAAAATAACACATGATTATCCCACTGCAATATATGTGACATCAAGCGTTAGCAAAAAAAGTAATCTAAAAGTAATCCAGAAGTAGTCTGATTACGTTACCATAAATATGTAATCTAACAGACTGACTATAATTTATGTCATGCAGTTTGAAATCAGATTACAATTGACAAGTAATTCATCCCCTCTGATATGATATAGAAATAAAATAAGAAACTGTTGATGTGTTTTGTAGTAAATCTGAAGACGTCCAGCGCTCAGCGAACGCCTCCAGCACAAGTAATTTCATCTCCTTCAGAGACTCTGCTGCTGCTGCCAGTTCTCCAATGGCCACTAGTCCTGTAAGTCGGTGTTGTTCTAATAACCTAGATAAGGGCTTCTTTATTTGTTTACGTTTTAACCTTTGTGTACTGTTCAAATTGGCTGCTCTTTCATTATGTTGGGGGCTGTTTTTGCCCCATTGACTTCCATTATAATCACATTTTTTGATTGCAAAGCCATGACAGCATATAATCATGCATTCTTGATTGTTGCTGGTTTTCCCTCTTGGGAAGAGTGACAGTGTGTCATATTTAATGTTGATCATCCGTTTGCAGCATTAACCCTTTAGATAGGCCTGTGCTACAAAAGTTAAAATTGAAAATTCTCAAAAACTCAACAATACACTCAGATTGACGCCCTTTTGGTTATGTGGGGTGGCTGTTTGGGCCCCATTGATGTCATTATAATCATATTTATCATATATATTTATATGCATTCTTGATTGTTGCTGGTTCTCCCTGTTGAGAAAAGGTAAAATGTGTCATTTTTACTGTTGATCACATATACATAATATACATAATTTTGATATCCTCTGAGCTGGATCTTGTATGGTTTGCATGTGTTTGTTTACGTTGTAAAGAAATTGTTTAAATGCAAACATACTGTAAATATATTAGAGTCTGTCCATTCTTTTAAAACCTGTACATTACATGTTGTATTTTAATGAATTCACTGATGTGTTGCAGTCTGTGAGCCTAGTGGATGTGAAGCCAAAAATAAAGTAAGCTCTTCCAACAGAATTCAAATAACAGAAGTTATATTTTTAACAATAACAACACTGATGTTAATGATTATATGTCTTTTATATTTCCTTTCTCTTTTAGATTAGCACCAAGATTTCTGTCACCAAACGGTCTGGACAGAAGTAAAGAGGTATTGGAAAATTATTTAGCAGGAAATAGGCCTGCAAATATGGTATTAGTCATCTGTGAATATAAGTTTCATGTTTTGTGACCAATAAAAAAAATAATAAAGACACTATTATTTAGATTTTGTCTTGTATAATGAATATCTTCAGTAAAGTCAACCTAAAGTTCAGTAAAGAATACCCTTCCTACTGAGCTTCGTACAATCAGTGCCACTTTTTAAAGCCAAGCTTAAGACCCACTTGTTCAAAATGGCTTTGAATGCATAGTAGCTGTAATGTACAAAGATGAGGATCCACGTGCAGTTTATTAAAGAGTAGACATGCAGGCAATGGTCAACAACAGGGACGAACAGGAGCGTGTAGGACAATCCAAAAAGCATAGTCCAAAACAGGCAAAAGTTTAAGACAATAAACAATGCAAAGAGTCTAATACATGGTGGGACTAACAAGGAAAACCGCTTTGTAATGCTTCACTAGGAAAACAAGACTCCTCACAGTGTGTGTAAATGTGAACAGTATATATAGTTTCCCAGCTGTGTGTGTAATCATTGGTGAACCGGAAACAGGTGTAGGTGAGGTGCATGACGGGATATGTAGTTCAAAAAAAACAGAATTGTAGTTTGGGGGATGTTTACAAGCGATCTACAAGTCTGGATCGCTGGTGATCGTGACAGTAGCCCAGCCACTTTTCACCACAATGTTTTGCGGTTTGATTTTTCTTGGATTGTTTTTGCATCGTCAGCTTTTTTAGTTGCGTGGTATAATTTGTTTTACTGGTGTAAAGCACTTTGGTCAACCTTGGTTGTAGTAAGGTGCTATATAAATAAAGGATGATTAATTGATTGATTGATAAAGTTATAGTTGTGATATTAATAGGTCAATTTAAAAGGTAGCATAATGAGAATAGTGCAAATGTTATTGAAGTCTGTTTCCACTAAATAAAAATCATAATAAATCATAAATAAATAATATAAAAAATCATGTTTTAGGAAGTTGTAATTATTCGTTCATTTCCTTCGGCTTAGTCCCTTTATTAATCAGGGGTCGCCACAGTGGAATGAACTGCCAACTTATCCAGCAAATGTTTTATGCAGTGGATGCCCTTCCAGCTGCAACCCAGTACTGGGAAACATGCATACTCATTCATTTCACACACACTCATACACTACGGCCAATTTAGCTTATTCAATTAACCTATAGCGCATGTGTTTGGACTGTGGGGGAAACCGAAGGAAACCTACGCCAACATGAGTAGAACATGCAAACTCCACACAGAAACGCCAACTGACCCAACCGGGACTCGAACCAGCGACCTTCTTGCTGTGAGGCCACAGAGCTAACCACTGAGCCACTGTACCGCCCAAGTTGTAATTATGACAAATTTAAAAATGATGTGTTATTCATGAGATAAAGTCATAACCGTTACATAAAAATAGTTTATTGATGGTATTCTGTTTTATTTAAACTTGGTATATCATATTGACTTTATAATACTTTTCTATGTGGTGGATGTTTATAATTGAATTATAAAAATGTGAATTGACTGTTTATGAAAGCAGTTTCAGCATTCTACAAACATAAGAAACAGTTACTGTATTATTATTTGCTCTTTTCTAAAGTGTCTTCTAATTTATTTCCAGGGTGGTCCTGACATGAAGGTACCAAACCCAGCAAAGGCATCTGGAGGTCAAACTCCAAACAGTGCTACTAAATCAAGGCAAATAATCTTTCTCAATAATTCTTTCTCAATATCTATCAACAAAAATAATTCAATTAGAAATTCATTGCTTAGAAGCTTTCATATTCATCTTTGTAGGTTTTTAGAAGACTTTGACTCAATAAATCCGATTGGGAAAGGTGGCTTTGGTCGAGTTTTCAAGGCAAGACGAAAGCTTGAAGACAAATATTATGCCGTGAAGATAGTGAAAAGTACAGAGTAAGTCATTCCTCTGCTGAAAAATCCAGCTTAAACCAGCCTAGGATGGTTGGCTGGTTTTAGCTGGTCGACCAGGTTGGTTTTAGAGGGGTTTTAGCCTCTTCCAGGCTGGTTTCCAGCCATTTCCAGCCTGGTCTTGGCTAGTCAGGCTGGAAAGTGACCAGCCAAAACTATCTAAACCAGCTTGACCATCCTGGTTTAAGCTGGACATAGCTGGTTTTGGCTGGGCTCCCAGTCTGGCTAGGCTGGTCAAGCTGGTTTTAGCTGGTCATCTCCTAGCCTGACCAGCTAAAACCAGGCAGAAAATGGCTGAAAACCAGCCTGGAAGTGGCCAAAACCCCTCTATAACCAGGCTGATCGCCCAGCTAAAACCCGCCAAGGCGGTTTAAGCTGTAATTTTCAGCAGGGTCAGGTTTCTTTATTTTCTAAGGTTTTAAATAAATAATTAATAACCAAATTTAATTAATAATTAACAGTAATTGCAAAAGCTTGTATTGTGTTTATCAAGGGTGTACATGCAGGCAGAACCATTTGTTATGATCATGTAAAAACAAAAACGTTGCTGCATGTAAAAGTTGAAATATTCTTATTCGTATTAACAAAGAAGAATATTACTAATTATTCTTGTTATATTCTTATATCTCGACAAGCTGTGTAAAAATGAGGCACTGCTAAAGACACAAATGTATAACAGTCATGAACGTGTCAAGCATGTTTACACAGAAAAACAATGAAAAAACAAATCAAAATGGAAATATAGATCTTAACTTTAGTGCACAATTAATGTTTTATCTGGTGTTTTAGGTTAGAGTTTGGCTTAACCTTTGAAAGTTCAATACGGTCTCCTGAATATAACATTTTATTTTACGTTATTGTGTTTAACTTGTTCTAAAGAACCTCCTGGATGTACTATATCCCTAAAATATCATCATCACCATACCTCTGATTTTACATTCACATCCTGCTTGTAATGTTTGAAACAGTTATGTAAGCCAGTGTGATGGATTTAGAAATGTAGTAAATCATTCTTATTGTCTGCATTGTGACGGTATATGTGCTTTATTTCCTCAGGAAAGCTCGTCGTGAGGTTGGTGCTTTGGCTGATTTTAATAATCCCAACATCGTCCGCTACTTCTCGTCTTGGGAAGAGGACACAGCATACAAACACGAGTCGTCAGAGAGCTTCTCAGAGTAATGCACCAAACACAAGCACCTGCTCAAACTAACACAGGGCCTACAGAAATACTGTGTTTACTAGTTTTTTACCACTTAGAGCAAGTTCACTACACTGACACAACACACTATATATACATATACATATATATATATATATATATATATATATATATACATACACACACACACACACACACACACACACATATATATATATATATATATATATATATATATATATATATATATATATATATATATATATATATATATATATATATATATATATATATATATAGTAGCGAGGCAGAGGGAAAACACATACACAGGCGCGTTTAGTTACAAACAAGTCCCCGGAGGGTGCTTTATTTACAAAGTGAAGGGGGTGAAATACGGTGCTCTTCTTGGTAATGTCCACACAAGCTACATTTGCCGATTTGAGAAGTACATGTTAAGATGCAATAACTTAATTTCTGATGCTGTGCTCAAAAAATACTTTAGTATTTTTAATGCTTATTTCAAAATACTTCCCTTTACTATAAGTTACTATATTTGACGTGTGTAACAGCTGTTTTTACTGGATATTTTTGTTTTAGCTGTTATATACTGTAATGTGTTTCTGTTTAGTACAGCATATTATTTACAGTAACTATCTGAACTGAACTATTATACCTCACCTGTTTCATTGACAGTTTCATTGATCTCTAAGATGTGATTGACTTGGATCTAAATTGCTTTGATTTAAGAATTTAAATTGTAAAAATAGCTTAGATTTAGCTAAGCTACTTTTGCCATATAGCTTTTGGCTTCACTTGCTGCATTTCCCAGGGGTAGCTTTTAGTGTAGTTAAGCTACATTTTAAGTAGTGTAGCTAATAGCGTAGCTCACTACATTTTTCAAGTAGCTTGCACAACACTGGACTCAGCAGCCGCTGAACTTCAATAAAAAAAAAAGCTGTTATGTCACACTCGCCCTTGCAAGCGAGTCACACGCAACACTGAGACTAGCCTGGGTTGCTAGGTGTGTGCAAACCACTTGATTTGCGGTTCAAATTCAATCCTGCCTCCAATCTTTGGAGGCCTATATTATTCTCTATCTATATTATTAACTTGTGTGACAACCTTCCAAATGCCTTTTATCATCTGTACGCTGATGATACAGTGATTTATTGTTGCTCCCCTTCATTTTCTCAGACCATTCAATTTTTACAGTCTGCTTTTAATATTGTTCAGTTTTGTCTTAAGGATCTTAAATTGGTTTTAAATGTAGACAAATCTAAATGAATGATTTTCACAAATTGTTCCACTCCTGTGCAGAACCAACCATTAATTACCACTGCCCAAGGTCAACAAATAAATTTAGTGTCCAGCTATAAGTATTTCGGCTTTCTACTCGATCAGGAGCTTTCTTTTAAAGAACACATATATCAAATTTGGTTAGGAAATTGAGAGTTAAGCTCGGAGCCTTTAGTCATGCCGCCCCCTCATCCTGGACTACTCTTCAGTCTGAACTAAAGATATCTGAGCTCATCCCAATGACATCGTTTCACTCTATCCTTTTTAACAAACAACAACAGTCCATTTCTCAATGTATGTGTTTTTAATATATTGAAATGTGGTAAAGCTGGAAAACTGAACTGTATTTTTATATTGTATCAATTTTATATTTATTACTAATATTATTACATTTTTATTTTCTATTTATTTTTATTTTTTATATAAATCGTGTGTTGCAGACCTCTTGGCCAGGTCACCCTTGTAAATGAGATCTTGATCAAAATGGGTTTTTAATCTGGTTAAATAAAGAAACATATATATATATATATATATATATATATATATATATATATATATATATATATATATATATATATATATATATATATATATATATATATATATATATATATCTTTAATGCTAGTGTCACCCTTAGAGACTAGTAATATCCTGTAAGGGTTTACTCACACTATGTACAGTTGCCTTGAAGCAGCCCGAAGCACGCTTCCCCCCCCTCCCGTCTCCCCCTACGGCCCGCACTTACATTACATTCAGGCCAGGGCACGCTTAAGTCATCGATGATGCGCTGTTTAGTAAACGCTTTCGTTCAGCACAGTTCACTCATCTTCAGTTTTGGGCTCTGGCACGCTTTGCACTCACACTACAAGCGTACCGCGCCAAAGCCTAAGTTAACCGCTCTCTGGCATGCCTCTTCTAACCGGGCCAGGCCCAGCCAAGTAACCCATGCCTGAGCCCGATTCAGAGCACTTTTTATTAATTTATCTGCTTTTTTGATCTCCATTGTATGAGCATTTTTGCAAGTTTATTCATTTCTGCGAACCCATGTATAATCTGATCAAATGTGCCTTTAACCAACTATAGTATGTAGAGTGTCTTTGTGTTGGTGTCTGTGTTAATGTAGTCTCTGTCTTCTGGCTTTAGCTCTGGCAGCGGCCCGGGAACAAAGTTTCTCTACATTCAAATGGAGTTTTGTGAAGGAAACACACTTCGAGTCTGGATTAAAGAAAGAAACTCCTCAAGCAAACAGTCCCCGGAGCGAAGAACAGAAGCAGCTCAGATCTACCGGCAGGTGCTGAAGGCTGTGGAGTACATTCACTCAAAATCATTGATCCACAGAGACCTGAAGGTGAGCTGATATCAATATCAATATTCTAATCAATCAATCAATCAGTCAATCAATCAATGAATCAATCAAACAATCAGTCAGTCAGTTAATCAATCAATCAACCAGCCAATCAGTCAGTCAGTCAATCTTATCAGTCAACCAATCAATCAGTCAGTTAATTAATCAATCAATCAATCAATCAACCAATGTATCAATTGGTCAATCAATCAATACATTAATTAATCAGTTAATCAATCAGTCAGTCAATCAATCAATCAATCAATCAATCAGTCTGTCAGTCAACCAATCAGTCGATCAATTGGTCAATCAATCAACTAGTCAATCAGTCAGTCAACCAATCATCCAACCAATCAGTTAACCAGTAAACCAATCATTCAATCATCTAATCAATTAATCAATCTGACAATCAGTCAATCAACCAATCAATTAATCAATCAATCAGTCAGTCAACCGATCATCCAACCATTTAGTTGACCAATCACACAATCATCTAATCAATCAATCAATCAATCAATCAATCAATCAGTCAGTCAGTCAGTCAGTCAGTCAATCAATTAATCAATCATTTAATCAATTAGCCAGCCAGTCAGTCAACCAATCAGTCAGTCAATCAATTGACCATTTGTCAGTCAATCAGTCAACTAATCAGTCAGACAATTAATCAATCAGTCAATCAATCAATCAACCAACCAGTCAGTCAGTCCAGTCAGTCAACCAATCAGCTAATTAATTAGTCAATCAATCAACCAGTCAATCAATCAGTCAGTCCATTTATCATCCAACCAATCAGTTAACGAAACAGTTAACCACTAAACCAATCAGTTAATAATCTAATCAATCAGTAAGTCAGTCAAGCAATCAGTCAGTCAGGCAACCAATCAATCAGTCAGTTAATCAATCAATCCATCTATCTATCAATCGGTCAATCAATCAATTAATCAGTTAATCAATCAGTCAGTCAATCAATCAGTCAGTCAGTCAAACAATCAGTCAATCAATTGGTCAATTAATCAAATATTCAATCAGTCAGTCAGCCAGTCATCCAACCAATCAGTTAACCAATCACTCAATCATCTAATCAATCAATCAATCAATCAATTAGTCAGTCAATCAATTAATCAATCTTTTAATCTATCAGCCAGCCAGTCAGTCAACCAATCAGTCAGTCAATCAATCAACCATTAGTCAGTCAATCAGTCAACTAATCAGTCAGTCAATTAATCAATCAGTCAATCAATCAACCAACCAGTCAGTCAGTCCAGTCAGTCAACCAATCAGCCAATTAATTAGTCAATCAATAAACCAGTCAATCAATCAGTCAGTCCACCAATCATCCAACCAATCAGTTAACAAAACAGCTAACCACTAAACCAATCAGTTTATCATCTAATCAATCAGTAAGTCAGTCAGTCAATCAATCAGTCAGTCAGGCAACCAATCAATCAGTCAACCAATCAGTCCAGTCAGTCAACCAATCAGTCAATTAATTAGTCAATCAATTAACCAGTCAATCAGTCAGTCAACCAATCATCCAACCAATCAGTTAACCAGTAAACAATCAGTCAATTATCTAATCAATCAATCATCTAATCAATCAATCAATCAATCAATCAATCAATCAATCAATCAATCAATCAATCAATCAATCAATCAATCAATCAATCAGTAAGTTGGTCAGTCAACCAATCAATCAACCAATCAATTAGTCAATCAATCAACCAATCAATCATTCATTCAATCAATCAATCCACCAATCCATAAATCAATCAATCAATCAATCAATCAATCAATCAATCAACCAATGATTCATTCAGTCATTCAGTTTTATCACACTAAATACATTCTAGGCTTCTGTTATAATGCTGCTCTGTGCATTCTAATACAACACATTCATTGATTTCAATTCATGACTTTTGGTTTTGTTTCTGCATTTCAGCCTCCAAACATAATGTTCAGCAGTGAGGGAAGAGTAAAGGTTGGAGACTTTGGCCTCGTGACTGCGGCAGAAAATGAAAATGAGGAGCAACTGCTGGAACGAACTAAAAGGACGGGAACACGTACCTACATGAGCCCAGAGCAGGTCAGTCAAGAGATCTACATTCTAATCTACATCAGACACTGTTAACAAGTCATATTGGCTTTGGTAAGAGTGCATATTTCCAAAATAGCTCATACAAAATAATAAATCCGGCACAATAAGATCCTCTGCAATTATAAAGTTTAGATTTTGTATGATTTTAAATTGTAGGAATCTATATAGTGTCTACGTGACTTTAGTAACATTCACATACTGTCGTAGTTCTTGATAACACTGTTATCTGTATCTACAGTTGCTGGTCAAATAATAAGATTACCAAAAAAAGTTGATTTATTTCACTAATTCCATTCAAAAAGTGAAACGTGAATGATGTATACATTCATTCCACACAGACTGATATATTTCAAGTGTTTATTTCTTTTAATTTTGATGACAACTAATGAAAACCCCAAATTTACTATCTCAGAAAATTGAAAAAAAAAAGGTTGAGTATTGAAGAAACCTGTTGCCTCACTCTAATCAGCTAATTAACTTAAAACACCTGCAACAGCCTTTACTTGGGCTGCGTCTGAAACCGCCTTCTACTCAGTAGGTACTGCATTTGAATTTAAACGTACTGTTCGGCCGTTAGAAAAGTACGATCTATACAGTATGAATGTGAAAAGTATGAATAGAATTCGGACGTACTACATCCGCCATTTTGTCATGGTCATGTGACCTACCTGCGTCATTTGCGTCACCTCACTTCCATTCATAAATTCTCTCACGGGGCATTATGGGATAGCGCAGCGTGCATGGGATGCGCACTCCAGAATCTCGCCGGAAGTAGTAAGTCATCCGGGTACTTCTTGCATACTGATTTTCGAATTCTATGAATTCGGACATACTACTCGGATCGCATACTGATTTTAGCGTACTATATAGTGTGGAAGTATGCGGTTTCGGACGCAGCCTTGGTCTCACAGTCCAGCCTACAGAACTACACAATCATGGGGAAGACGGCTGATTTGACAGATATCCAAAATATGACTATTGACAACTTGCACAAGGGGGGCAAGACACAAAAGGTCATTGCAAAAGAGGCTGGCTGTTCACAGAGGTCTGTATCCAAGCACATTAGTAGAGAGGTGAAGGGGGGGAAAAAAAAGATGTGGTAGAAAAAAGGTGTACAAGCAAAAGGGGTAACTAATAAGAGTGGACTGCAGCTGGAGTGTGCTTCAAGAAATACTACGCGTCACTACAACATACCAAAATATGTACGTTTATATATAAGTTATATGCTTATATTAAGTAGTGCTGGGTTTAATCATGATTATAATCATGATCGTATCAAAAATAGTTTGTTTTTTTTTACATAATACTGTATATATGTGTGTATTATATGTGTTTATTATGTATATGTGACACAACTATACAAAACAATTTTGTTACTTTGATATTTACTTTGATATTTAAATTTATATATAATTTGTATCATATACACATAAATTTTATATCTATGTATAATTAAATAAACATTCTCTCAAATATATGCATGCATGTGTGTATTAAAATGTACATGATAAATATGCACAGTACACACTCATATATTTATTCATTCATTTTCTTGTCGGCTTAGTCCCTTTATTAATCCGGGATCGCCACAGCAGAATGAACCACAAACTTATCTAGCATGTTTTTACGCAGCAGATGCCCTTTTAGCTGCAACCTATCTCTGGGAAACATCCACACCCACTCATTCACACTTATACTTAGGACATTTTAGCCTACCCAATTCAACAATACCACATGTCTTTGGACTGTGGGGGAAACCGGAGCACCCGGAGGAAACCCACGCGAACGCAGGGAGACACTCATATATATTATGTCAAAACAAACTTTTATTTTGGATGTGATTAATTGTACTTCAGTTTTGCTCAGCACTAAATCGATGGCTGCGTCCGAAACCGCATACTTCCATACTATATAGTACGCTTAAATCAGTATGCGAGCCGAGTAGTACGTCCGAATTCATAGAATTCGAAAATCAGTATGCGAGAAGTACCCGGATGACTTACTACTTCCGGCGAGATTCTGAAGTGCGCATCGAATTCATGAATGAGAGTAAAGCGACGCAATTGACGCAAGTAGGTCATGTGACCATGACAAAACGGCGGATGTAGTGCATCCGAATTCCATTCATACTTTTCACGTTCATACTGTATAGAACGTAGTTTTTTAATGGCCGAGTAGTACGTTTAAATTCAAATGCAGTACCTACTGAGTTGTAGGCGGTTTCGGACGCAGCCTAAGTTAACTTGACTAACTCTGTTTTGTACATCTTTGTTGTAAACTGATTATCTAGATGAATCAAACAACATATGACAGAAAGGTGGACATCTACGCTCTGGGTCTCATCTATTTTGAACTTGTCTGGAATCTTGGCACAATGCATGAAAAGGAAAAGGTTTGATTTGTTTTTTAAAACATTACAATCTATTTATTTTTATAGACCTTTTTCTTGAAACGCAAAATTACCCATGATGCTTTGCGTGTATGCGCAAGGAGAATGCGAAGAACTTCCGGTCGACAGCTGATGCGTGTAAACGGTCACATTTGGACAGCTGTGAAACGATAGTTTTAATCTATTTTACCTGCTTTTATCCTCTTTGAACTAATACTGTTGTCCATCAGCAGCATCTCCTGGACTGATCATTTACAGAAATGTGATCTAATAGAATGGAAAACAGCTGCTGTGAGGCGTTTTCCCCTCGTTGTCAGACGGCATCTTCTGCAGTTTAAATGAAGCCTCGTCATCGCTAAAGTCAACATTTTCTCTTTATTTCAAATATATAACCAGCCCAAACTAATGTAGTTCACCAAAATGTTTGACACACACACGTAGCCTGTACTGTGCCACTGACACACTGATTTAATAACTGTGACAAAGTGAAAATATAGGCTAGTGTCATTTCCAAATGACAGAAAAACACAAACCGTGGTGAAAACAACACACGAAATAAAACACAAACGGCTCGCGATTAGAATGAACAGCAAATCAGCAGCAGAGGGTCAATAACAGACTTTCATTGCTCATTTTTGTAAATTGCACGACTTTCATACCTGTTAAGTTTCATGCCAGTACTCTGGTTTGCTCTCTCTCTCTCTCTCTCTCTCTCTGTATGTGTGTGTGTGTTAAAGAGCCGCTGAGCTAACAGCTGACAGGCCGGGAACGCACACACACACTGTATTTCTGATGGCAGACACGTGAACTAGGAGAACGTTTTTCTCGTATTTCTGACGCGCTTGAACCACACGTGACAGATTATAACGGCTTTAACAGACACATTTCTAAGTTGTGTGTCACAAAAACACTCTGTTATCCATTAAAAACGTTATTGAAACCCATTTTCGGAGCGCAAATTACCAGTTGTACACGCTGTAAACAGAAGTGTTTAGCATTCTACCGGAAGACGCTGGTCGCTATGGCGCCCTCCATGCAGCAGCCATGAAAAAGGTCTATATGTGTGTTTGAATAAATTCAGAACTTTTTTTTATTTTAGTCTGTGTAAATGATTCTCTTGCTTGGTGTTTTTGTCTTTTAAGTTTCTAAAGGATTATCATATACAATAAATTTTATACTAGAGAAAAAGAACTTTAGTAGGTAACCAAGATTATTTTTCTGACTTTATTGCCAGATGTATTCTCTTATATTGAGAGCAATATGACATTACATTTTTTATATCTGTCGTTATACTTCTCAGTGTGTTAGATTTACAGCAATATTGAGGACTATGTATTTATTTATTTTTTATCGTTTATTTAATTTTTACTGTGCATAAAAAATGATGCAGTTTTCTCGGTGTGTGTTTTTTTAGATATGGGATAAGTTAAGAGTGAGGGTTTTTCCAGTGCAGTTCACAAAGATGTTTATCTTTGAGGTGAGTGTCATTTCATGATCAACTTTTTTTGTACCAGTAGGCTTGTGCAGTTTTCAGATTTTGATACTGTCATACCTCCTCCCTATTTTACCTTGGTATCCGGTATTACCGTGCATAATAAAAAACAAAAAGATGTAAGGCTAACGCCTGTTTCACACCGCAAGCGTCAGCGGCGTGTGAGCAGAGCGTGCGCAGCGCGTATGTCGAGCAGTAGCAGCACGCAGGCGTTTGCCTTTCACACCAGCTGCGTCTGCAGCGCGCAGCTCTTCGGCAGCTGCTGCTGAGATCAACCTATCTCTGTCTATTCTATCTAGTTACCCATGTCTCTCTATATACAAATGCACTTTTTAAACTTTTCATCTGCACCAAAGCCCCTCCTATGCTGTTTCTTTAACCTGCAAATGTTTATTTTACAAATTTTATAGATCAAATAGTACTGTATGCTTCTCAAGCTAACTTATATGAGAAGTGTTTACAGTCAGAAGACAATCGCCTGTGATATCATGTCATTTGTTTTTTGATTATCAGGTTGCTGTAGACCAAGTTATAATCATATTTATACAATATAGTTATAATGATATTTATACATGATCAAACTAGTGTTACTTTCTCCGCTTCAGTAATGTCCAGCGGCAGAATAACAGCTCGTTAATTCATTCTCGTGCAGATGATGAGACGGACAAAAGTAACCAAGGCATGTCATTCTTTTACTTATTTTCGTGTCGTCAGGTTCACAGTGCAAACAGCTCCCGGTAGGAATAACTCGAGTGAACATAAAACAAAGCCGATTAAAACTTTCTTGCTCTGCTCAGCTGCACAGAACACAGCGAGCTCACATAATCCAGCATGTGTGTCGAACTACACTACCCACAATACACTTCGCCATGGACTACAAATCCCGTAAATATTCCATTTCCCCTCTCCTACAACAGTAGTGTGCAACTTAAGCAAAACTGATACTAAAATTGTTTTACATTTGGTTTTGTAGTTCGGGCCTAAATAAATGTTTGTTGCCGTTTTTAATCGTTTTAAGTTAATTTGAATGACTATATATAAACCATTTGACATTATTAACGCATTTATTGGGTAAAATTGCTACTTTTACATTCAATGTGTTTTGGTCATTATCAATGCACTGTCACTTTTTTGAGCGTGAGCAGCGCGTCGAAAATAGACCCAGCGCCGAAACTATCGCTGCACTGCTGCTTCGGCGACGCTCACGCCTCGCTCTGACGCGCTGCTGCTGCGTGCGGTATGAAAGCTCTAATCTGTTAACATGGACGCCGAAAACACACGCGCTGCTCACGCTCTGCTCACGCGCCGCTCACGATTGCGGTGTAAAACAGGTGTAAGACAGCTTCAACAAACTGTTGGCTCTTGCCTAAACCATTCAGAAACTGAATACAATATATGCGACCTTAGGTTCGCGGTCACCTGTTTTTCTTGATTGTATTAGAGATCTGCGCGGGTCTAAATTTTAGGGGGGGTGATGTGTTCGCGAACAGAAGAGCAAAACCAAAAGCCACCCATATAACAAGCTAAAACAAGCTGTCTGTATAAACACACACACAGCACACAGCGTCACGCTCTCTCTCTCATTACCATGCATACAAACACACACACACACAGCATACATGTAGATGAGCACATGCTCACTTGCTCGGGAGCGGTATTGTTAGACCGCCCGCTCCTGTTCAAATTACACCAGATTTACTGACCGCTCCCACGCTTTATTCAGAAATTTATTCCCGCGCTGCAAGAAATCTGGTTGGCTCCCGTGGTCTACCTCGTCTCCCTTTTTGTTTGGTTGTGACGGTATAATGGTATTGAAACTGATACCGTTGCTGTTTTTAGATCCCGCAGTAAACCATATTACCGTATTACCGCCCAAGCCTATGTACTTGTGTTAAAAATAAAATATGCAGAAATAATCAGTAATTAAGGAATAATGTACAACCAATCGAATGATATTTCAGAATAAAGCCTTGTAATTATCAAGATATACTGGCCACATGTGTGACTGGATGCTGTGGAACTGTCAGCCTGAGGGTAGCAGAGAGAAAAGTCTATGGCATATACTACGATATGCAGGGTGTTTTTTAAAGATAGTTGGAAAAATACGCTAATACACTTTAGTATGGCTCAAAACCTTTTTACTATAATTTACTATTGTATTTTAGTTTAATTACTGGTACATGGGACCTGTGCAGGTCTTTCAAACAGTAGAAATATATGTAATCGACGCCTAATCTCTCGCTATACACTTTACTAACCCATGAGGGTGTTTAAACCTTTGAATCAAAATTTGAAGCAGTCACGTGAGTATAGGCGAAAATGATCACTGATCACGTGATGATGGCAAAACGAATCAAGCTCCGGTACACTGCTTCACTGCGAGATGTATTGTTTTTCTTTTGATACATGCTTCGAAGCCTCGGCGCACAACGTCACATCATTAGAATTATTTATACAATGAAGACTATATGGTGTTAATTTACATTTGATCATTGCATTTCTGAACCTCAATGCTGTTCGACTCCACTGAAATCTATGAAGCGCGGTTTAATTTATTTTTGTTCTGTGCATTATTTTATTTGGTAATTTTTTTTTGTATATTTTATGCAGATGCACTCCTTCAAAATTTTAAATACTTGCCGTATAGAGTTTGTCAAGTCATCTTGTGAAATTATATTCAAATCGCAATGTATATCACAGAAAAACTAAGGGCTCTATTTTGACGGTCCATGCGCAGAGCGCAAAACGCAGGGCGCAAACGCTTTCAGGGCGTGTCAGAACGCGTTTTTGCTAATTTACGGACGGGAAAATCCGCTTTGCGCCGTGGCGCATGGTCTAAAAGGGTTGAGTTTATTTTCTTAATGAGTTATAGGTGTGTTTTGACAATAAACCAATCAGAGTCTCATCTCCCATTCCCTTTAAGAGCCAGCTGCGTCGCGCCAAGAGCGCATTCACTATTTACAGGACGCAAAGTAAGTCTAAGTGGAAAAAATGAGCATTTCACAAGCAAACAGTTAACAGTTTATTAACAGAAAACAGTTAAACAGAGCATCTACTGCGTGAGAATGAGAGATAATGGATCTACTTTCACTTTCGCTTTTGGATAGGGAAACCTTTACGCACAGACAACAATTAGTCTATAAATAATTAATTGTGTTTGTTAAGCGCAAATATTCATTTCAAAACTATTTCTAAATTTAGTTCTAATTTCCAGCAAACGAATAAATGAACAATAATAACAAAATGTGCTCAAAAACCTGAGTTATATCCTAAAACACATGCTGCGCCCCATATGGTCTAAAACAGGGGTCTCAAACTCAATTTACCTGGGGGCCGCAGGAGGCAAAGTCTGGGTGAGGCTGGGCCGCATAAGGGATTTCACAAAAAAAAGTCCTCAAATGTCATTATTAGCAGTTTTAATTATTTCTTCTGAACATGAAGTGTCCTGAACATTAATAGAACATTGAGTGAAGATTATGAACAGCTCTTCTGAACATGGCATCTTTTGCCTACTCCTTGCTGCCAGAGACTTGACAGTGCTTCTTCTCACAAATCTGAACCACATTTGGCTTTAGAGCGGAAGCAGTTGAGACCCTCAGTATGGCTTGAAGATGATCATCATTAAGTCTAGACCTGTACTTTGACTTATTGAAGTCCTAGGGAAAAAAGTGGGGGAACTCACTCAAAACTTCCATTCCCTCACCTAAAAAAAGGCGTATATATGTATAAATAAAACACCCCCACCCCACTCCAGTCACATCAGTCTGTACCAGTCTGTATCTACCTATAATATATATAAGATGCAGGGCAGGCACGTGCACACATAGGGCCCAACCTGTGCAGAGCACATGCCCTTTTTAGTCTTGCATAGAAAGTGCCCTTTCAAAATGATCAAAAGTGCCCCCGCAACGCGACACACCCTCGGCCCCGCCCTTCAGTAGGCGCGCGATAACACCGCTCTTGAGTACGCGCACGACAACACAGCTGATCAGAACTCGCGCGACAACACGGCGGGCGGGGAATGCCAGTGACCGCTGTGTACGGATAGAATCAGCGGAGCGGGGAGTGCTCTCTCTCCCCGCTCTGCTGATTCTGTCAGTGTACAGCGGTCGGCGCGGGCCACAAAATATTGCACTGAGGGCCGCAAATGGCCCGCGGGCCGCGAGTTTGAGACCCCTGACAGGTGGACAAATCTAAGCTTGTTTTTAATAAAACAAATATAAATATGCATATAATAAATAATACTGCTAATAATAATAACATTATACAAAAGCAAATTGGTATGAATGAACTGAAAAAGCCCCCCGAGATGAAGAAGACATAAAGCAGTGATTTTTCATATTTATGTAGGCTAGAAAATAATATATTTTGTAATATTTTAATCCTTTATATTTATATCCTATATCTATTCTTATTATATCCTATATATATCCTTAATATTTGATTTTTTTTTCATATGTAAAGATATTTGCCTATTGCTCTCTTGTGCGTATTAAGCAGTGCGTAAACAGCGTAGCTCAACGCCTCAAAACGACTCTTGCGCCAAGCTGAAACTACCAAAAGACTATTGCGCCACACTGCGCCGAGTGTATGATAGGGCCCTAAATATTCCCAATGTCAGTTTTTTTCCAATTTTGTGCAGCCCTAGTGGACATGGCCTAACTTGTTCTTGTGTTTTGTTGACTCTGATAAAAACAGCACAAGTTGATGGAGCGAATGCTGAGTCCCAGACCTGAAGACAGACCAGATGCCACAGACCTGATCCTGGATCTGGATCAACATTACACACTCCTGAAGACTGATCAAGACCTCAGGACCGTCTGATAGACCAGCTCCTCTCTTATAGGATCATTTAGGTAGAGCACATACAGTTGAAGCCAAAATTATTCACTCTCCAGTTGAAATGATTATGTTTTTAATATTTCCCGAGGTCTGTTTAATGCACGTTTCTAAACATAATAGTTAATAACTCATTTCTAATAACTGATTTCTTTTATCTTTGCCATGATGACAGCACATAATATTTGACTATATATTCTAGATATTCAAGATACTAGTATTCAGCCTAACGCTACATTTAAAGGCTTAACTGGTTAATCAGTTTAATTAGGCAAGTCATTGTATAACAGTGGTTTGTTCTGTAGATTAGGGGTTCTCAACCCTTTTCACTTCGTGAATATTATATTAATATAATATTTAAAAAAACACACACACAGATACAAAGAGAAGCACAGGTCAAATGTGAGATTGCAAAAGACCAGCTTCTGCTTTAAACTGGACTGACTGAATATCAAATATTCACAAATATACGCACAAATGAAACGCATCGGTCTGATGGCGGTTGAGTTATTATTGGGAGATCGCTGACAGGAACAGTGAACAGCTGCGCCAGAGCATGTCTGAAGCAAGCTGCAGTCTCCCGCTCTCCCTCGTGAAGCAAATACGGAAGTAACTGAAACTGCAATTCATCGTTATTCCGCTAGTCCTGGCTCCATATGGAGCAATTTTCTATTGAGCCCACTATTAAAATGGCCAACTTTACAGCAAAAAAATGACAGCTATTATGCTGCGTTCACACCAGACGCGGCACGCTCGTCAAGCGAGAGTGATTTACATGTTAAGTCAATGCAAACGCGCGAATAGACATCCTGCGGCGCGATACGCGTGAATGGCGCGGCGCGAATGACGCAAATTGCACGAATGGCGTGGGGCGAATTGAGCGTTTTGCGCGTTTGACGCGCTTAACGTGCGTTTCGTGCGAATCTCTCGATTTCGAAAATCTGAACTTCAGCGTACATTCGCGCCGCGTTAACCAATCAGAAGCTTGCTCTTGTGGGGGCGTGATTGTGACGTAGAACCTGTTGTCGGTGTTCCGAGGGAAATCTTCCAGCCTTCACCGACAGCAGTTCATCAGACTGGGCTGGGCTCAGTCAGAAGCACCGCTGAAAGCCTCCGTCATCCAGGTTAAGTTTCTGGAGGAGTTTATGAGTTCACAGAGCTGGATGCACCCCTGAAAGAATGTAGTGGACTCAGACACGACCCTAAACGTATCAACGCTGTTTTTCAGTCTTCATAAAGCACATAAACACAGTTATTTTCTTCATAAAATCCATGTTGGCCATTTAACTATGAAGCTAGAGTCACGGGGCAGACAGAAGCCCTGCCTATCATGCGAATCCGCGTCTGTTCTGATGTGAATTTGACACGCGAATGAAGCGGGGTTTGACGCGCGTATGAAGCGAGTAAACTCAAATGTTCACGCGGCTATTTACGCGCGAATAGCGCGATTTATCCGCGCGTTCCGTGTCTGGTATGAACACAGCATTAGGGGGGTGAATGTTTTTATAACTCATCCTTTTCCTTTATATTAGGTTATATTAAGTCTGCATAATTAAGGACGTGGCCACTTGAGTGACAGCTAGTTCTTGCTGGTCGCCGTCACTTCTCCTCAACTGATTCCGGCTGATTAGCTGCTGAGCTCGGCATATACATCGAATTTTTGTGTTGTTTTATGTGGCTTTACACAGTCAGTTGCCTTTTGGAATTATTTCCTACAATTATCAGATGATATGGCATGCTGTGTGCACTTTATTGTGCTCACAAACCATTCACGTGGCCTTCGTTTCTCATGTGAGTGAATTTATATACTTATATACAATCTCTATAAATGTATTTGTTTTATTTATTTATTCATTTATAATTCTCTTTAGAGCTGTAATGCACTCCAGATTCTGCCAGATTGATTAGCTGCAGGCTCTAGAACAGTCGTCTGAAGTGTTGTCATACAGAGTTATACCTGGATTTCATCAATAGCCTTGCATTTACTAACACAGACTGAAGTGTTTGGAAGTAATTTGCTTTTTCGTCCTGTAAAAAAACATCATTAGAATAATGTTTAGTGGCTCTGTGTATTACAACAGTGTTTTTAAAAGTCTAAACAAGTTATTGCTATAGTATACAACCAAGCACATGTGGTCAGAACACAAATGAGTCGCAGGTAATGAAGTATTGAGCGTTTCTCCCAAAGAAAAGTCTGTCAAAGCAAAATGCTAGCAGGCATCTGTAACTCCGCTCATGCTCCGCCTCTTTGCCCTTGTTTGGTATCCCCCTGTCGGTGTGATGACACGTGAACAAAATTGCGATTGTTGGCCACGCCTATATGTAGCTTCTTTTGCTTTCTTCAGAAACCTATGGGTGACGTCACGGATACTACGTCCATATCTTTTACATTATGGTCTGAAGCTCATGCAGGGTTATTTTACATTCTATAGCAGAAACACCATTGAGCCTCGCCAGATCCTCCACCTGTATGGGCGAGCATCCGTTATAAAACACTTACAGGACATTAATCTGGACAACTATGTGGATATATAATAAATAGTTCACACAAAAATACGCATAGAGAGACTTTCACTTTCAAATTACGCTTAGTTAGTGAACGAACAGACTTATGTGTAGCTGCAGATGCAATAATGATGTTGTTTTTACACCGATTTGTAAGTAATTAATCAGAGAACAGGAGACACTGGATTACTTTGATCATTTTAATATAGCATATTAATAATAAAATCCAAAAATTATAGTATAATATTGAGAGTCAATTTTAAGCTATTTCCGCGGCCCACCGGTTGAGAATCCCTGCTGTAGACAATACAAAACAAACATTGCTTAAGGGGACTAATAATATTGACCTTAAAATGGTTTAAAAAATGTAAAAACTGCTTTTATTACAGCCAAACTAAAAGAATAAATTAAGAAAATATTGAAGGAAATACTGTGAAAATGTCCTTGCTCTGTTAAACATCACTTGGGAAATATTAATAATTAATATTTGCTTATAATTTTGTCTTCTGCTGTACTGATTGATCACTGTAAGAGCAATAAAAGTACAAATCAGATGGCAAATGTGCAATTCAGATAAACAAACTACAAAAATCTAATATCTGTATCATGTACTCCTCCTCAATTCCATTCAGACATATTCAACTCTACCACACATCAAGAGTGCGCTTCACAAAGGAAAGAGCAATCAGTGTGACACATTTTTAATTTAAAGGGATAGTTCACTCAAAAATTTTTATTCTGTCATCATTCACTCAGCCGGGGCGGCACCGTGGCTCAGTGGTTACAGAAGGTCGCTGTATCAGTTGGCATTTCTGTGTGGAGTTTGCATGTTCTCCCCGTGTTGGCGTGGGTTTCCTCCGGGTGCTCCGGTTTCCCCCACAGTCCAAACACATGTGCTATATAAATTGGATTAACTAAATTGGCCTGTGTGTGTGTGTGTGTGTGTGTGTGTGTGTGTGTGTGTTTGTGTGTGTGTGTGTGTGTGTGTTTGTGTGTTTGTGTGAGAGTGTATGGGTGTTTCCCAGTACTAGGTTGTGGCTGGAAGAGCATCCGCTGTGTAAAACATGCCAGAATAGTTGGCGGTTCATTCCACCGTGGCGACCTCTGAAATAGAGACTGAGCAAAAGGAAAATGAATGAATGAATTGACTCAGCCTTCACTTGTTTGAAACCTGTCTAAGTTTCTTTCTTCGGTTGAACACAAAAGAAGATATTTTGAAAAATGTTAGAAACCTGTAACCACTGACTTCCATAATATTTAATTTTCCTACTATGGAAGTCAATAATTACAGCTTTCAAACATTTTTCTAAATATCTTCTTTTGTGTTCAACAGATAAAAGAAACTCGTGAAGGTTTGGAAACACTTGATGTTTTTAGTAAATGGAAAGTAAATGGTCATTTTGGGTGAGTTATCCCTAGTCTAAAGCTCTTGATCACGCTGTTTCATTACTGTAATTCATTCTGCATGTTTCCATGAATTAAAAAGGATGACGTATTGTTGGTTTCACTCTTTTTGTTTCTGCAACAATAGTTGAGTCCATCAGCTCTTCAGGAAAAGTCTCTGTCTTATTCTAAACATGTCTGCTTTGCATGGTATTTTGTAACTGTAGATCATTCTGATAAATCGTCTTTTTATGAACAATGTTTTACATGTCTTAAAATTCCCATTGACGGGTTGCAGCTGGAAGCTGCATAGAACATATGCTTGACAAGTTGGCGGTTCATTCAGCTGTGGCGACCCCAGATTAATAAAGGGACTAAGCCGAAAATGAATGAATGAATGTCTTAAAATGGGGCGAGACGGTGGCTCAGTGGTGTTGCACTGTGGCCTCACAGCAAGAAGGTCGCTGGTTCGAGTCCCGGCTGGGTCAGTTGGTTTCTGTGTGGAGTTTGCATGTTCTCCCTGTGTTGGGGTGGGTTTCCTCCGGTTTCCCCCACAGTCCAAACACATGCACTACAGGGAGATTGATGAACTAAACTGGCTGTAGTGTATGAGTGTGTGTGAAGGAGTGTGTATGGGTGTTTGGGTGCTGGAAGAGCATCCGCTGTGTAAAACATTAGCTGGAATAGATGGCGATTCATTCCGCTGTGGCCGAAGGAAAATAAATGAATGACTTACAAATCCTAATAGGACAACCTTAAATTCCTTTTCATGCCAACTTAAAAGAGGGGACACTTTCGTGTCTGCATTCAATTTTATCAAAGTGCTTTAAAAGTTGCAAAGCTGTGTACACACTGTAAAAAATATCAGTAAATTAGCAGTTTTGCATATTTGTGATGTTTTTATTTTGCTACGTTTATTTCTGCTGTTGAATTGCATTATGGGAGCTTGATCATTCATTCATTCATTCATTCATTCATTCATTCATTTTTCTTAGCCTTAGTCTCTATTTCAGCTGAATCAACCGCCAACTTATCCAGCATACGTTTTACGCAGCGGATGCCCTTCCTGCCGTAACCCAGTACTGGAAAACACCCTTACACACTCATTTACATTCGCACACTACGACCGATTTAGTTAATCAATTCCCCTATAGCGCATGTGTTTGGACTGTGGGGGAAACCGGAGCAACCGGAGGAAACCCATGCCAACAGTGGGAGAACATGCAAACTCCACACAGAGATGTCAACTGACCCAGCCAGGACTCGAACCAGCGACCTCCTTGCTGTGAGGCCTCCCACTGTGCCGCCCGGGATCTTAAATCTTTCTTCCAAAAACTTTTGAACTTGAAAAGTTTCAAAAAGTGGTCTTTGTTAACATTTTTAATAGTTTAAAGTGATATATCGTCTGGGTTGGTGTTGTATGTGATGCTATATTATATTATTTTAAACTACTACAATGTCAGTAAAAGTCTCTTTGTTGAACTGTAGAGTTGAATTTTCAACATCAAAAGTGCACAGAGCAGAGATCAACATCCCATAATGCAATTCACAACCGCAAATAAACACTTGTGAATCACAAAATGCAGAAACTGTTCATGAACAGATGTGCTTATAGTGTATGCTGGGTTCTTATGAGAGCTGGAAATCCTTGAAAATGCTTGAGTTTTGTTCTAGTGTATTCAAGGTTTGAAAAGTGCTTCATAATCCTTATTAAATAGGTGATGATAATAATAAAAACCAATCTCTTTGCTTTTGCATAAAGTGAAAGCTCTGGAGTCTGTGCGAGTGCTTGTAGCGTGATCTGACTGTTTTCAAATGAAAATGTAAATAAATGTGTTTGTAAGTGTCATTTGTCACACTTATAAAGTGCTGGAAGATGTCCCCTGGAAAGTGCTTGAAAGGGGCTTAAATTTGATTTTGAAGAGGGTGTAAGAACCCTGTACATGCATTAAAAAAAATGTCAAAATATGGTGAAATTATTTGTTATTGTCATTCAATAATAAAAGTAAATAAATTTGGTCTGACCTGTCATTGGACAACAGTGGCTTGTTTTTATATATATATATATATATATATATATATATATATATATATATATATATATATATATATATATATATATATTGTGTTTTGTTTATCGTATGATTAAAGTTGTCGCATTTTTTGACAACTTTAAATTAAAGTTGTCGAGATTTAATTGCTTTTTTACATTAAGGTAGCATCCAGAAAAAAAATAAATAAATACACCATCGAAGAATCTTGACAGAAAGCAGCATAAAAACTTACAGCCAGCTAGCATTTTAGAACTGTTATTGCAGAGCAACACAAACAGCATGCAGAAGTATAAATGCACGACTACGCACAAAGCTGGCTCCATTGGTCACGGCGATTACTCAACACGGAAGTATAAATCAGCCTTCACTCACTGAATTCAGAGTTTTTATTTATTAACCTGATTATGTACTGTAAAAAAAAACAACAGTGCCTTTTCTTAAATGCTAAATAATTTTTTTTTGCATGTCATGATTTTGCCAGGTATCCTGGATTAACATCTATGTTGATCCTGGAACAACATTCCAATCAGCCAATCAGAATTGTGTGATACGTTTACTGTTTATGTTAAATATGGGCTTACGGTTAGGTTTATGTACTTCCACATGATTGTTATTTAACTATTATATATATATATATTATAGGGATGATGCATTATTTAATATATATCTATACATAAAAAACCCTTTGCATAGACATTTAAATTTGTGTGTGTGTGTGTGTGTGTGTGTGTGTGTGTGTGTGTGTGTGTGTGTGTGTGTGTGTGTGTGTGTGTGTGTGTGTGTGTGTGTGTGTGTGTGTGTGTGTGTGTGTGTAGACTACTGGTCAAAAGTTTGGGCTCATTTTTATTTTTCATGTTTTTTTTTTAGAAAATTATTCTGTTCATCAAGGCGGCATATATTAAATGTAATGTATATATTAAATATTTATTTATTACTTATTGTATGTATTTTCAAATGAAATTATTAGATCAGTCACTATTGCTTTTATTACTATTACCATTAATAATAATATTAATAACAATAATAATTAATACATAAGTGATTTCTGAGGGATCATGTGACTCTGAAGACTGGACTCTGGAGTAATGAAGCTCAAACATTATCTTTAAAATTAGCGGAATAAATTATTAAATTAAATTAGAATCTACTCTTGAACAGTTATTTTATATTGCAAGCAGAAGCTTATTTTAAAACATTTTAAAAACGGTTGTGTGTGTGTGTGTGTGTGTGTGTGTGTGTGTGTGTGTGTGTGTGTGTGCGTGTGTGTGTGTGTGTGTGTGTGTGTGTGTGTGTGTGTGTGTGTGTTATTATATACACATCTTTTTTAAATCTAAGAATCAATAAACATTATAAGGTGGATTATTTAATAACATTAATATTTGCAGGAGAAATGGCTTGGATTAGTCGATCAAGTTGAAATTTCAAGGAAGGGATGTGTTTAATCTGGCAGGGGTGCCTTTTTTGGCGTTAAAAAGCACCATTTTCGCTTTAACTCCTGGTTACCGCTATTCATTTCCAATCAATGAGAGAAGGGGACTTAAAAGGACTCCTTTGAAGTCTGAAATGAGACAAAGCTACTGACTCCGCCCTAGACCACGCCCTCAGTATAGACACGCTTTAGATGGGTGGATCTACAGACTAACTTCAGTTGAGTTTACAGCCAGCTGACCCAAGTACACCCGTCTGCAGCCCGCAGATCGGGGCGGGGCTGAATACGGGGCGGGGCTGCATATTCAATCCCGCCCATAAGTGGGCGTGTCTAAACATGTCGCTCCGCCTACAAGTCTTTCATTGGTTCACGGAAACATATTGACGTTGATGTAATGTATGCTTTCGATTCCGGTTTTCATCTCTGCACATTAAGCAGGAATCGAAACCGAAAGCTAAACAAGCCTTCTTTAACACGAGAATCTGGGCGTTTTTGGACTCTAGGTTGATCAGAGGAGGTAGAATACAACATTCTGACAAACAAAATGGCAAAAATGTCCGCAGAAAATGAAATAGAGATGAGAATCTGTGACTACCTGAGGAGACACGGCAGGAGCACCGTACAGGACATTTTCAAGGAATTAAAATTAGAGAAATCCACCGTGAACAGGCATCTATACAGCCTACAGGCGTCAAAGCAGGTTTTTAAAACTGTGGAAGATAATAAGCGGCCAGTCTGGAATCTGGTGGAGAGCATGAATGACGAACAAAAAGCCAAACCAGAGCAAATAAAGCCCGAGATGACAAGAGACGCAATTGAAGAAAAACATGTGAAGGATCTGCTGAAATCAGGAGGTTTAAAAGCCTCTCATATCGCCAGCAAACTGGGACAACAAACACAATCAACTAACAAACTACTGTACGGTTTGATGGAGAAAGGTGAAGTGCGCAAATGCAGTAAAAGCCACATGTGGACTCTGAAAAATGACCAGGAGAGGAATGGAAGTGGCAGGTTTGTGTGTTTTATTTTATTTACAATGGGATTTTGCACTTGTCATTGATTAAATCCTGTTCTTTTTCCCCTTCCAGTGATCGCAAACTGACTTCAGTTTCAGGGTGAGTATACTTGACCAGACATGCCACATTAAAAATACTATTTTGGTAAATACTGTAGTGTTTTTTGAACCGAACCGTAGATAATACCATGATAGTCTGTAGTATACTTTAGTTTTACTACAGAAAACTGATGTATTGTGGTATAATATACTCATATTGGGCCATTTGTTTATATTACTACAGTTGTTGTGTTAATTATAAAATCACCACAACAGATTACTTCACTATATACAGTATGGTCTAAAAAACACTTGTGTTGTAGTATAGTATATTTCAGTTATTAAATCAATGTTTTGTTAACAGGGATGATGCATAATGTTACTGCCTATTGCTGTTTGACATGTATCTTCTGTTCTGCAGGATGTCTCAAACTTTTGATGTGATCGAAGAGCTTGGTGACGGAGGCTATGGTTTTGTTTGCAAAGTAAAACATAAGATTGATGACAAGATCTATGCTGTGAAGAGAGTCGAGTTCAACAGGTAAGTTCACATCATGAGATCATGACTCAACTTAGAATGAACACTCGTGTATTGAGGTAAAGTTGATTTTATGTTCGCACATTAATTTACTGAAACGCTCCCTCGAATTTTGAGTCTGAAATTGCATGTAGATCTGACTTCAAAACAACAATAGCACTATTTAATTGACTGTGGTGTGGACAATGTTGTACTTTGATAGTCATTGGCTGATAATAGGATTTTCCTGTTGAGAATTGGCAAATAGTCCTTTTCTGAACTTACATTTTTGAGGAGAAGGTCAGAATGTGCGAATATAGACCATTTCAATGTGGTCATGTCATAGGCACATCAACATTTCCTACTTGTTAACAAACTGTTTCATAACTTTAACAAGAGGTAATTCAATCATAACTTAACGTTAAAACAGCTATCATAGCATTATTTATCAACAGGAAATATGCTGAGGCCATTGCTTTTGTTTACATCCCTCAAAATGGTCTATAGAACCAACTTTACCCTTATTATGTGGTACAAAATGTTTTTCATATTTATATATTTGATTAATTTTTCCATAATTTGTGCATTTTATTATATACTTTATGCATGTTTTCATGCATTTTTATGCATATATATTTTATATATCCATGTATATTTTACTTTTTCTTTATTATTTCTACTAATATACTAAGAGACTTCTTTAAAAATATTAAAAATCACGCTATACTAAACCTTTTGACTGGCAGTGTACACTAAAAATGTCTGTTCATGGACTGTGATTCACAAGTTTTTATTTGCGGTTGTGAATCGCATTATAGGATGTTGATCTCTACTCTGTCGACTTTTGATGTTGAATATTTAACTTTACATTTTAACAAAGTGACTTTTACTGACATTTCAGTCATTTAAAATAATATAATATATGAGAAATTCTGTAATATCTAGAGAAAAAAGTCTGTAAAATAACACAAGCCCATTAAAAATATTCATAAAAATCACTTTTTCAAAATTTTCAAGGTCAAAATTTGTTGAAAGAAAGATCAAGCTCCCAGAATGCAATTCAAAATCAAAAGTAATTTGAGAAAAGTAAAAACATGAATCACAAAATACTGAAAACAGCTAAATTAGGGATATTTTTCACAGTCTATATTTATGTATGTATTAATGACACAGTATATTTTATGCATTTGTTTATTCATACTTAATCCCAGGGCCATTTATATTGTTGATTTAAGTTTATTTAAGTTGGTAATACCATGTTGGTGTTTTGTAACCTCTCGTTTTTTGGGTTGTTAGCCCAACCCCCAACCTGGAGGACCAGGGCACACACTCATACACTACAGACAATTTAGCTTACCCAATGCCCCTATAGCGCATGTGTTTGGACTGTGTGTGAAACCGGAGCACTTTGAAGAAACCCACGCCAACACGGAAAACATGCAAACTCCCCACAGAAATACCAACTAACACAGCCAGGGCTCATACCAGCAGCCTTCTTGCTGTAGGCGATGGTACTAACCATTGTGCCCCCAAGTTGCTATTTGTTAATTCATGCACTTATTTATTTATTAACTTAATTTAATTAATTTATAACCCTTTTTTTATTTTAACATATGTGTGTGTGTTGAGCATCAATTAAGACAATGTTAGCACCTGTCAGCTTTAATTGTGGGGAAAACTGGATAATTTTGAGCGTTTGTCAGCTAATTTCAGCTTCCGGGTTTAAAAGGATTTTTGGGGCGGATCAAAATCTGCGATGTAGCGCAAAACTCCAAGTGCAAAGATGACTCGTCGGTTTCTCATTAATATTTATAGCAGAGTTTTCTTATCCTAAGAGAAGAGCCGACTTCTTAATTATTCATGACTGCGCGTGCTTTCTCAAGGCAAAGCAGACCTGCTAGTGCCAAGCTGTGAGATCCTACGTTGATGACTGGGTGAGACGCGTTCACGAACACACGGCACAGAGTATTTAGCTGTTCATAAAGGGTCGTATGTGTCTGTTTCCATGATTCACGGGGATTGTTGCATGTTTTCCCCTGCGATGCTGTCAGGGCCGATACAGCAAAGCTGTTTGTGTGCAGTAAACATTTTTGTCGGGAGAGCAGTGCGAGAATTGGAGAATGGCGGACGTTGTCTTTTATCAGGAGTTCGTTCACATTTAGACACATCGCCATGCTGCTGTGTTCGCCTGAATCCTCCAGATTACCAGCAGGGGTAATGGTTAAAATAGACAGGACAAGAGACCTGCTGCACTGAGTCTGCATTCAGACCTGGGGATTGAGGGAGAAGTCCTCATTTAGTGTTTACAGGAACACGATTATCTTTATAATGATATATATTGTGGTTATCTGTATATGAAATAACGAATAACAAATGTAGCAGGGCATTAAATTACTGTTTATTTCTTTGCATTTTAACTTTGTAAACTATAAAATCACGCGTCTTCTCACGGCTTGGGTCTCATTTTGTGAGCCGACTGACAACAGTTGTTCGCTCCTCTCCTTCTCCCCTGCTCTGCTGGCCACGCCCACTCCTGCCCTTTGCTCGCGGAGCTCCACGCCCATTATCATGCATCTTTTGAAAAAATTCTGAGGTGGACCTGAACTGAAAGTGGGGGGTGTCATGGCCCTTTAATGCATATATGTATGTTTTTTAATATTACAACAGTGAAGCTGAACCTGAGGTGAAGGCATTGGCTCGACTAGATCACCCAAACATAGTGCGCTACTTCACATGCTGGCCTGATTCTGACAACTGGATGTCAAATCAAGAAACAAACGAAAAGTCAAAGTAAGCAAATCTTCAACACTGTAGACCGAAACACTCAGTTCTTCACTGTAATGATGTTTCTGTGTTTTACTGTCAGCACAACAGGTTCTTCAACTGACACTGATGATACTAATGAGAGAAGCGCTAGTGATGATGATGTTGCTGATGATGAAGATGATGATGATGATGATGTCAGTGATGATGTCACGTTAGGAATGGAAAGTCTGACTTTTACAGAGTGTGTACAGCTCTCTTCATATGAAAACAGATGTTTATTTTGGAAAAGTTTCTGCCAAATGCATTACTGTAAATGTGTCTGTTTTCAGATCGACATCTGCTGCTAAAGCCAGTGGACAGTGTGATCCTACAAATCAGTGAGTTTGTTTGTTGCTAACTATTCGTTTATGACAGAATAGAACATCAAAATTAATTAAATTCATTCAAATATATTATTTTTATTTAATATTTTTTTTATTTATGAATGAATATATATGCAGCTTTACAAGATGTCTATTATGTTGGCAGCATCAATGGAAAATAATTTATAAATTTCTCAAAGCTGCAGTTTGGTTTGGTTACATTATAACCAACTATTGTACAGGCCAGAAAAGGAGATTAGAAATAATTTGCTTCAAGAAACACTAACAGCAAACTACTAAAGGCAAATTCATGATAAAAAAGTATGTTATTGTGCTTTTAAAGTGCCTTGTATAAAGTACCTAGGCATAGGCACTACACTGGAGCATTAGGACCCACACAGACCACAGGTTGGGCGCCCCCTGCTGGTCTCACTAACACCCTTTCCAGCTGCAACCTAGCTTTCCCATGTGGTCTCCCATCTAGGTAGTGACCAGGCTCAGCCCTGCTTAGCTTCAGTGGGTGACCATGTGAGAGTTGCAGAGAGCTAGCTCCCGGCCAATAATAAGAGTTTAGTACATGGAAATAGCCACACCATGGGTCTCAAACATCGTGTTCTCATTCTCATGTAAATCCTGTAAATGTGTAAAATCCTGCTGAAAACAGGCCAATCAGAACAAAAACAGACTATTACAATCCACACAAGATCGTTAATATGCTGCTAAGCATCAGAGCAGAACTCATAAATAATCATGACCCTTCCAAATATGGTCAAACCTGAGCTTTTAATTCTAGAGGTCATTTCTGTAGTTATAAATGAGCATTTTAAAAAGTCTGGAGAATGTTTGTACTTACCATAGGCACATACAAATGAAAATATGAGAGAACAATTTAACGCACGGGTGTCAAAGTCAATTGCTGGAGGGCCGCAGCCTTGCAAAGTTTAGTTTCAGCCCTGCTTTAACACACATGTCATTCTTTCGTATAGATATGGATTTTTGTATTTTCTGAGCTCAATGGGGCGACCCCTGTAAGTTGCGTAAATCCTAAGTTTTTTTGTATGTATATATATATATATATATATATATATATATATATATATATATATATATATATATATATATATATATATATATATATATATGTGTGTGTGTGTATATACAGTTGAAGTCAGAATTATTAGCCTCCTTTTGATTTTTAGATATTTTTTTTAATATTTCCCAAATGTTGTTTAACAGAGCAAGGAAATTTTCACAGTGTGTCTGATAATATTTTTTCTTCTGGAGAAAGTCTTATTTGTTTTATTTCGGCCAGGATAAAAGCAGTTATTAATTTAAAAAAAAAACATTTTTAGGACAAAATTATTAGTCCCTTTAAGCTAATTTTTTTTTCGATAGTCTACAGAACAAACCATCGTTATACAATAATTTGCCTAATTACCCTAACCTGTCTAGTTAACCTAATTACCCTAGTTAAGCCTTTAAATGTCCCTTTAAGCTGTGTAGAAGTGTCTTGAAAAATATCAAGTAAAATATTATTTACTGTCCTCATGACAAAGATAAAATAAATCAATTATTAGAAATAAGTTTTTAAAACTATTATGCTTAGAAATGTGCTGAAACAATCTTCCCTCCATTAAACAGAAATTGAGGAAAAAATAAATAGGGGCGCTAATAATACAGGGGGGGCTAATAATTCAACTGTATGTATGTATGTATGTATATATGTGTGTGTCTCACCTTCTTTTTTTGTGTTCGGCTGATTACATGCCTGGTTTAATTATAGTTGAAACTAAACTGCAGAGCTGCGGCCCTCTAGGAACTGAGTTTGACACATTTGGTTTAACGTATTAAATCAATGCATTCTGTGGCACCTTTGAACAATAATGTACATAATGCAGGGTTCAATATTCATTCCCTAAACCTTTATGTGCTTTCTCTCCCTTTCGTCTACAGCAGGACATATTTATTTATTCAGATGGAGTTTTGTGAGGGAGGAACACTGACGTCATGGATAGGGGAGAGAAATTACGGAGGAAAACAGAGAATCCCTCTGGAAATCCATCGGATATTTTATGAGATCAGCAGTGGGGTGGAGTACATCCATTCAAACAATCTCATCCACAGAGACTTGAAGGTACAGTTGAAGTCAGAATTATGAGCCCTCCTAAATTACTAGTAAATTTTTCCCCAATTTCTGTTTAACGGAGAGAAGATTTGTTCAACACACTTTTTAATCATAATAGTTTCATTAACTCATTTCTAATAACTGATTTATTTTATCTTTGCCATGATGACAGCACACAATATTAGACTAGATATTCATCAAGACACTAGTAATCAGCTTAAAGTGACATTCAACTAGGTTAATTAGGGTAAAGTTAGGGTAATTAGGCAAGTTATTGTATAACAGTGGTTTGTTCTGTAGATAATCCAAAACTAATATTGCTTAAGGGGGCTAATAATATTAATAATAGACCTTAAAATGGCTTTTAAAAAAGTTAAAACTGCTTTTATTCTAGCTGAAATAAAACAAACGAGACTTTCTCCAGAGGAAAAAATATTATAGGAAATACTGTGAAAATTTCCTCAATCTGTTCAACATCATATAGGAAATATTTTCTATCTGGTAGACTTTTGTGTTCGTAATAAGCATTGTTCTAATATTGTATGCTTTTATTTTAGCCTGATAACATATTGTTTAATGACGGCAAAGTGAAGATTGGAGATTTTGGGTTGGTGGCGGCTCAGAAGAATCCCAGTGGTGACCCTATAGAGCGGTCAAAGAGGAAGGGCACACCCACATATATGAGTCCTGAACAGGTGACATATTTAAACTTTTAGCTTTTTCACAAAGATTTTAACAGCATCATGCTTGTATCAGCACATTTTTATGAAGTTTTTATGAGTATTTACATGGGGTGACACTGTGGCTCAGTGGTTAGCACTGTGGCCTTACAGCAAGCAGGTCACTGGTTTAAGTCCCGGCTTGGTCAGTTGACATTTCTGTGTGGAGTTTGCATGTTCTCCCCGTGTTGGCGTGGGTTTCCTCTCCTCTGGGTGCTCCGGTTTCCCCCACAGTCTAAATACATGCGCTATAGGAGAATTGGATAAGTTAAATTGACTGTAGTGTGTGTGTGTGTGTGTGTGTGTGTGAGAGAGAGAGAAAATGAGTCTGTATGGGTGTTTCCCAGTACTGGGTTGCAGTTGAAAGGGCATCCACTGCATAAAACATATGCTGGAATAATTGGTGATTCATTCTGTTGTGGCGACCCCTAGTACATAAGGGACCAAGCTGAAGGAAAATGAAAGAATTTTATATACAATCTATATACAAATGCCGGGTTCCACACAATCAATCTGTGTTAAGAGAACATGAAGGAATTAAGTTATTATTAACTTACTAGTTTTTACCAATTTAAATGGATTTAATGTAAAACAAGATAAGTTCTCCCCCCCAAAAAAACTCAAGAATTGTGTCGCTTCAGCTTATTTTAAATAAGTAGCTTTTTATAGATGTCATTTTTTGAGTGGATAAAAATGTTTAATTAAAATAAAACTGATATGAAATTAATCAAATAAATAATTTTAATGAATAAAGTAAATAAGTAGAATAAATGAAATCTTTTTTTGTAGGAAAATCTGAGGAATTACGATGAAAAGACAGACATTTTTCCCCTTGGACTGATGTGGTTTGAAATGCTGTGGAAAATATCTTCTGGGATGGAGAGAGCAGAGGTCAGTATTGTTTCATTTATAATGTCATTCATTCATTCATTCATTCATTTTCTTTTTGGCTTATACCCTTTATTAATCTGGGGTCGCCACAGCGGAATGAACCACCAACTTATCCAGCATATGTTCCACACAGCGGACGCCCTTTCAGCTGCAACCCATCACTGGGAAACATCCATACACACTCATACACTACAGACAATTTAGCCTACCCAATTCACCTGTACCACATGTCTTTGGACTGTGGGGGAAAAGCGGAGCACCCTTGTCTTCACAAGAACGCAAGTCCGTTCTCTGCATTCTTGGAGTTGAGAAACAGCCTATGTCTACATGCCTAAATCCATTGTTGCTGCCATGTGATTGGCTGATTAGAAATTTGCGTTAACAAGCAGTTGAAAAGGTTGATATATATATATATATATATATATATATAGATATATATATATATATATATATATATATATATATATATATATATAAAAACACATTTACCGGCCACTTTATTAGGTACACCTTTTCAACTGCTTGTTAACGCAAATTTCTAATCAGCCAATCACAGTCCAAAGACATGTGGTACAGGTGAATTGGGTAGGCTAAATTGTCTGTAGTGTATGAGTGTGTATGGATGTTTCCCAGTGATGGGTTGCAGCTGAAAGGGCGTCCGCTGTGTGGAACATATGCTGGATAAGTTGGCAGATCATTCCGCTGTGGCGACCCCAGATTAATAAAGGGTATAAGCCAAAAAGAAAATTAATATATATAATGATATATATATATATACATACACACTGGTATATATACAGTGGTGAAATTAGGCATGGGCAAGATGGACGATCACCCAGGGTTGCATCTTGCTAGGGGCAGCATGGAAAACCAAACCCCAAAATATATACAAAACAATATTTATAAAACATAAAAAAACACAGTTTACACATTTAAATTATGTCAACACAAACTTTTATTTTGGATGTGATTGATTTTTGCCCAGCACTACCTATATTATTTTTTAATAATTGACTGAATAATTCTTGATTTTTGACATTGCAGATCTGGACAAATTTGAGAAATCAAAAGCTTCCTGACCAGTTTTGTGAGAGATATACAGCTGAAGTAAGACGTTTGATTTTCAAGTAAAGGTTGTTTGGATTGAGTTCAGTCTGTAATTCTGTTTTGTTTTTTTGTTTAGAATAAATTCATAGAGAAGATGCTGTCCGTGACACCAGAGGACAGGCCGCACGCTAAAGACATCAGACTAAATCTGGAGACGTTTTTCTCTTTGCATCAGAACAGCTTGAGTCAGAAAACTATCTGACTCTTTTGTTGTCTGTTTGGTCGGATGATAATGGTTTTCTGCAGAGCACTTTTAAGGATTTTACTGGTTTATTCATGGTTTAATGAACTGTTTAATGCTGGGATTTGCAAACTGGGCAGCAGAATAATATCAGGTGGTCCATGGAAAAGTTTGCAAAAAAAATAAAAATTTAATGCATAAAATAATAAATAAGATATTTAAAAAATATATATATATTAAATTATCTTTATTCAAACTTATTAAAGTGTTCTTCATGACTAAACAATGACAAACAAGTATAAATGGGATAAACACCAACACTGAATTAAATGCATTTCATTTACGTTTTAGGTTGGATGTCTTTTAAAGGAGGATGTTGATGTATATTGCATATAAAAGACCCCTGATGTAATGATGTGTAATTAGATGATAATATAAATCGTTCAATTAGTATTTGGTCATATTAAATTAAATATAAGCATAATATTCAGATTTATTATATATATATTTTTTAAATCATGAATTTCAAATGTTTCAAAGGTCTATTTTGTTTAAATATTTTACAAGTCTAAAATTGAATGTAGTTTCACAACATTTCTGAAACGGTGTCTGAATATAAATGTATTTTCATTCATTTATTCATTTTCTTGTCAGCTCAGTCCCTTTATTAATCCGGGGTCGCCACAGCGGAATGAACCGCCAACTTATCCAGCACATGTTTTACGCAGCGGATGCCCTTCCAGCCGCAACCCATCTCTGGGAAAATAAATGTATTTTATTACATTAATATAATACATATAAAACTTCTCCAGGGGTGGTTGGTTTGGTTTACAATAAATGCAATATTGTTTAATGTCTGCTGCTGGGAACTTTGCTGCTCAAGTGGACCTTTTTATTGACGAATGTACTGTATATGCTGGGTGGAATAAAGAAAGAATGGACATAAAAATGTGTTATTAATGCCCTCATCATACTGCCCAGGTAGCAGATAATTCCAAGTGGTGCTCGCTGCAGAGCCATTTGAGGAGAGGTGAGCTCCAGAGAGGGGGAGCTTAAGCTTGAGCTCCACCTTTTTTGCACTTCTTCTATGAGTGATGTCACTGGGGGTAGGGTTAGAGGTGGGGTTGGTGTACGCATTAAAACAGCTTACAGGAGGAGGAGCGAGAGCTCATGCTCCCCCTCTCTGGAGCTCACCTCTCCTCAAATGGCTCTGCAGCGAGCACCCTCTCGATAATTCTGGCCCAGACTTGGCATTGAGCTGGCACAGCAGGCGTTCACTGGAATACAGCATGTGGGCCAAACATTAGTCTTTACGGTGGCACACAAGACATGGGCCAGATATCAAATGTAGTGTTTGGCCCAAATGTTAAAAATGAATAAGTGGGCCACTTAAGTTTGGCCTATCCTGACCCAAATTTAAAATACTTTTTTTGGGTAAAGAAATATTGTAACACACAAAGTAATTTCCATCTTTCTGTTTGCATATTCTAACGCCTTCATTTTAATCCAGGAAACAATCAAGATTTAATTGTTTGTTTTTTAAATATATTGTTTATTGTATGTTGCAAAATAACTGAATTTAACCTTCATTGCATAAGTTTTATTAGCAAAATTATTATTTTACAAATTCTATTATTATGAACCAAATCTCAAAGCCAGTTTTTTTATTGATATAATTTTTTTCTGATTTTCTGATTGATTGATTTATATATATATATATATATATATATATATATATATATATATATATATATATATATATATATATATATATATATATACACACACACACACACACATACACATACATACATACATATATACATGTATATATACATATACGCACACACGCACAAACACAAATTCATGCATAAGTAAATACATAAATAACTAATAGTACGGGCAGATTAATAATTAAACTAATTACAAGGATGTTGGGGGAATAATGTTTATGTAGAAATGTTGTGTTTTTATGTGTATTCTATTTATTTTCAGAATTATTAATTATTGTTTAATATGCAGGAATTTGTGAATTAAATTAATTTGTTTGGATATTTATTTATTGTTTTATATATGCAGGAATTTGTGGATTTATTAATTTATTTATTTGCATATTTATTTATATTTTTATTTATGCAGGAAATTGTGGGTTTATTCATTATTCATTTATTTGCGTATTTATTTGTTGTTTTATTTATGCAGGAGTTTGTGTATTTATTTATTTGCATATTTATTTATTTATTGTTTATATATGCAGGTATTTGTGGATTTATTAATTTATTTGCGTATTTATTTGTTTTATTTATGCAGGAATTTGTGGATTTATTTACTTATTTATTTATTTGCATATTTATTTATTGTATTATTTATGCAGGAATTTGTGGATTTATTAATTAATAATTATTTTGCATATTTAATTATTGTTTTATATATGCAGGAATTTGTGGATTTAATTAATTTATTTCTTTGGATAGTTATTTATTGTTTTATACATGCAGAAATTTGTGGATTTATTAATTTATTTATTTGCATATTTATTTATAGTTTTATTTATGCTGGAATTTGTGGGTTTATTTACTTATTTATTCATTTATTTGCGTATTTATTTGTTTTTTTTATGCTGGAGTTTGTGGATTTATTTATTTGCATATTTATTTTTTTATTGTTTATATATGCAGGAATTTGTGGATTTATTAATTTATTTGCGTATTAATTTATTTGTTGTTTTATTTATGCAGGAATTTGTGGATTTATTTACTTATTTATTTATTTGCATATTTATTTATTTATTGTTTTATTTATGCAGGAATTTGTGGATTTATTTATTTATTTGCATATTTATTTATTGTATTATTTATGCAGGAATTTGTGGATTTATTTAATTATTTGCGTATTTATTTATTTATTGTTTTATATATGCAGGAATTTGTGGATTTATTAATTTATTAATTTGCATATTTATTTATTGCTTTATTTAGGCATGAATTTGTGGATTTATTTATTTATTTGCATATTTATGTATATTTTTTGCAGGTTTTGACCTGCCTAAAGTGCAAAATGGGTTTTATATCAATTTCACTGCAGTCATGACACACCAAGTCCAGCTTTCAGTCCAAACATGTGCCATATCTGGCCCAGTTCAGGCCAGTCATAACATGACTGAGACTCAATGTTTGACCCTTTGTCTGCAAGGCAAACTTGATCCAGTCATGTACCGTAATTCCCTGAGGTATGTGGGCCAGGCCAAGCTGATTGTGTGGACCAGAGAAATTTTGCTGTGGGTCGTTAAATTTATTTAAAGAAATTCTTAACAATACTATTAATATTTGTCTTGCAATGCTTTATTTTGATAACATATAACTATTTGTCTATGCACGTAAATACTGGCAGCTTATTAATAAACCACACAAAAAACACACTTTCATCTTAAATTCAACCGGAAGTGGCTTTATAAAAGGGGGAATAACCCGAATAACACACGTCGCGGTAAGTCATTCAATAATTGTGAATTCTGTGGTAAAATATGGTTTATATCATTCTAAAATAGTCAGCTTCATTCTCAAATATTTCAGAGTTAACATTTTTTATATAATAAGCAAACAATCCTCTTTAAGCTAATTACGTTAGCTATTTGTTTACATCCCGTGTGACAAAACTATAATGAGAATTTAGCTCGGACTATCACAAAGCTAGCGGTTTGATGTCATAAAATGTATAGAAGTGCTAAAATATTGAAGTGTTTGTTAATGTGTGTTTAAATTAATTAGTAGTTCGTCTACTAAGTCAAAGAGCGATGTGATTCTAAGTCCACCAGGTGTCGCTGTTACCTCGCTGATGTTTTTGTTTGCGCATGCGCAGCTTGGTCAACAGAGTATGTCACCCATTCGATAAATAACTTTTGATAATCTATTCAGTCATGTTTAAATTACAGCAACCCCAAGACTTCGTAAGGATAAAAAGCAAACGGTGATAATTTTTTTCATTAATTTTTGGACTTAAAAATGTAGAAAAAGGTTATTATTATTTTTTTTACTTTACTAGATATTCAGATATATATAATCCATATAACACTAGATATTCTTTGTTGTTTATACGTTATCAAAAGTAAATAAATTGGTTAAATATTCAGTTTAAATGCACTAATAATTCTAAGATGTCAGTAAAACAGTGGAGAAAATAAATGTGAAAAAACCCTATAAATATAAGCTTTTACTTTTCTTTGAGCAATAGCATAGAGCAACAGCGAATACATACTGAGGAACGTATCATTAGGGAGGCGAGTAAATTAATTTCATATTTGTCTGTCAGCCTGCGTATGTTTAACCATTGTGTGCTGTTGGGGATGTTTTCATCCACTCTGGGGTCAGACCTAGCCCGGGGAAAGGGCCGGTTCTTTTTTTTCTTTTTCTTTTTTTTTTTTTTTTTTTGAACTTTATTTTTATACATTGAAACGTTTTACAGAACAGAACATTCAGTGACAGCAGCGGTCATTAACAAAAAATAATAATAATAATAAATAAATAAAAAAATAAAAATAAAAAGACAGTAGCCGCAGATGTAAATAAAAAATTACAAATTCTTTTTTTTTTTAACTGACCTTTTTGCAGACATTCACCCAATTTTCTATTTAATTACAAGATTTCAATACTAAATTTAGGAGACATTTTATCCACTATTTTCAGCTAAATTAGCTTGTTGGATGGTCATCATAACCACACATTTTGATGTGCTAAAATGTTTCCGAAATATTAAGAGTAAAGAAATATGACAAATATTTATTTTTAAAACACAAATTCATTACATCACATATCAATAAAAATAAATGGGTTATTTTTACTATTCATGATGGCATAGCAGTCAAAATACAAATGAGTTTATGTGGGACAAACTCTGGACGAATATCTGACCCCCCTTGCTACAGGCCTGGGGGTGAGTTTGAGGCTTAATTTGGCCACAACTTTTTTCTGTTTCAGTTAGCAGATTGTTTTTTTGGTGACAAATCTTATTTTGACACATATTTTGGGAAAATGCTTTGATTAAAAAAAAAAAAAAACCTCAACAATACACTGAGTGTAATTTACCACCCTTTTGTTAGGTACAGTATACCCACTTTAATTTGCTCTCATACTCCATATAAATCCAGAAACTAAGTTTTTTTTAAGCACAGGCCTATCTAAAGGGCTAACGCTGCCGACTGATTGTCAACAGTAATAATTACACATTTTACCTTTTCCCAACAGAGAAAACCACCAACAATCAAGAAGGCATGATTATATGCTGTCATGACTTTGAAATCAAGAAATGTGGTTATAATGAAAGTCAATGCGGCAAAAACAGACACGGTCCGTGTATCATCCGTTCATTTGATTATTCCTTTTATTACGGAAAACGAAACATCAGAAAAACGATGAATATTTCGTTTTTCTGTTTATTCTGTTGGCAGAAAAAACGGAAACTCATCTGTTATTCTGCTTATTAACTTAAAACGAAATATTAAAACAAACACAAAACCAAAACGAAATAATGAGTCAAAAAATGGTCTGTGTACGGTCCGTGTACATTTTGTTCATTTGTTTTCCATTTTCAAACGGAATAAAGGAAATGGAGAAAACGGCTGTTTTTCCGTTTTTCTTTTGCTCACGAGAAAACGAAAAAACGAGATTTTGACTGGATTTTCGTTTTTTGTTTTAGGGTAGGAAAACGGATAAACGACTTTAAAATTCATTTTACACATGTAGGCGGTGCTGAAACGCCCACTTTCCTTTAATTGGTCAACCAAATCTGCGCTCGTGACGTCACCCTCAAAATAAAAGCCTTACACGCAGGCTTTTAATTATTATTATTTAATTATATATTAACTAAGTTTACATATTCTATCATTTGAACCACACACAGTTAGCAGGCTTACATTCATTGCGTATGTATAAATTAAATAAAAACGTAAATCAG